CCATGCCATGTGTACATGCTCATTTTATCTTATCCGCGTCAATTTTGCATGCCTGCGGAAGTACACCATCTGCTCAAATGTGAACACTCGACAACTGTGCAAGCTGTCTTGGCTTAATGTTTAAATAATTGGTCGTCAAATGCAAACACTTAACAAGACTCGTTAAGTTTCACTAATTCTCTAGTATATAAAATGAATCTTTTAGCTAGATAGGTGTACCGATAAATAAACAAGACGTTGCTGTAAAGTGTGTGTCGATCTTTTGTTTTCGTTTTTTCTCTGTTTTTTTTCTGGCTTTTTTAAATATATAAATCTTATTTTATCTTTTTCATCACGAAGGTAAATTTGTAAATCTTTTGTATATTCGGCTGCGCACACTGACAAAATCCGGCCGAAACAATACAGTAGAAACTGAAGCGAAAGAGTTACACTCGGAAAAACTGTCTTCTAATTTTACGGATCAATGTTGACCTCAGTTATAAAATTGCAAGACACAAGACACGCAAACAAGCGCAAGGAGAGAAAAAACTCTTCATCACTGTTGAAAATCTATTTCCCGGGGGCCTAACGACTTGAGAAGCCAAAGGGGATCTCTAACTTATTCACGCAGCATCACAAATTATCTCCAATTTATTCACGCACGAATGGAAGACTATAATTTTGAGATACAATAAATGGTCACAACTTGCACTCGGTTGTAGGCGTTTTCCTGCTTTAACTCAAGGATTGTTCAACTTTTATAACCTTGTTAAAACCAAATAACGGCAAGGAGTATTTATGTTGGTACGTTTAATTGTTTCCTCGCGGCCGATGATCCCGCTCTAAATAAACTCATTACCTATTTCCCAAGGGCATGGCAAAAAAAGGTCCCATGAATGAACAAAGACTCTTTTGTTATTTCCCTTGAACGATGTAGGAGCGGTAAGCAGTCTTAACTATAAATAGAGTAGACTAAAGTACCTTCGTTATACTGCCTAGCAAAACAGCCAAGCAACCAACTCAAGATGAGATCTCTACAGTGTTTCCTCGTTCTCTTGGTCACTGGCGCTTCAGTCGGTTTCGTAGTCGACACATCGCTTTATCATCCAGCCCTTCTGAAGTTCTTTAACGAAAACGTTGATAAGCTTATCGAGGGATTGAAGGGTGTAGAGAGCCAGGATGATCCAACAAGCCAACCTGCATTCATAGTAAGTTAAATGGTCAGTTTTAAGTGCCGCTCTCGACTTCCTTTCGAAAAAACAGTTTTCTTTTCCTTTTTTCCTCATGAAAAGGATTTAGGACACATCTTTCAAAAATATTTTACTTATTCTCCAATTATTTTTTTTTTTTTGCGTCGCCACTATAAACCAGACACCACCCGTGTGTCCGTTGTGGTCTTTGAGAAAGAATTCTCAAAATGCGGGCTCAAATCGGGCTAAAAAATCACATCGGGCATAGTTAATGAACCAATGAAGTCACTGACTGCCTCAAACCCGCCTTATCTCTCTAGTTTTCATCCACCAACATCTTGAAAACAAACCAAATCAAATAGAACGTCAATACGTTGAGAAAAAACTTAAAGAAAGATAAAACGGAGGGGGGGGGGGGGGAAACGAGGTTAGTTCAGTATGGAGGAGATTAAAAAGGAAAGATGCACCAACTGCTGATTACAAAACCAAACCTGGATCGACAGCTCTGGGTTTGGATGCGCACCTCTTACCTAGAAGTGTAATAAGTCAATTCATATGTTTTTGGACATGATTCTTGACTTTTTCGCTGTCTCTGTTTAAATGACTGCAGTTAGATTTCATCAAAATTACCAGATGAAAGCACTGCTAACCATGCTCCCATTTACAGACTGATTGTGAACAGAAATTCGGAGAATGTGAACTTGACGCAGACACTGATGCCTGTAAACGATTGGAGTGCATGAAGAATTTTGGAGGATGTCTTAAAACTGACCTGTCGTCCGAGAAATCTTCCACGCCTCCTCCAAAGATGGTGAGTCCATTATGAATGAAATGGTTGCCCCATTCTCTCTCTGTCTCTCTCTTCGTTGTTGAGAGCTTCAAAATTTTGTGATAATGCCGCAAAAATTTGTTGCACGTTTCTCGTAAGCAGCCTATTAAATTATCGTTAAATGTTAATCACATACTCGGCACCATTCTCGAGCAACCTAAAAAGACTTGGACTTACTCTGATAAACATACTTTAGTTTTCCAGTAATATACAATCTAACCCAGTCTATACCTCCCCGTAATCCTTCATCTTTTTCTTGAGGCAGTTCGCGTCACGGTAGAATTCTTCTGTCGATGGTATATATGAACTCGCGACCGTTACGCTTATTTAAACACCAGCAACCTGAAAATAACTATATTTACTAGCGGTAGGTAGTAAATATCTTCAAAATATTTTTTTCAAATTTCCCTTGGAAAAGTATTTTATGGCACATTTAAAGGGTACAGGCAAGAACCTATATGTACATACACGTCAGTTCCTGCTTCATGCCCTAACTTAACCTATTTTCTTCTTTTCATCGATAGAGTCCCTGTCTTGACAAGACAAATACATGCTTCGAACTAGCTCAAGAAGACTGCACAAAGAAGTTAGAATGTACAGTGTGCAGCAAGTACTGCATGAATGAAGATCCAAACCCACCTTCCTACTGCGCAGCTTTCTAGGCTGGCAGTCACCCGCTGGGAAAACCATCTTCTTCAGTCGATAATATAACACATAAAAAGGGAAAATAGCAAAGAAACTAGAAAGCAGTTGTACTTAATGGTAGCGGGAGGGATTTTCAAGAAGCTTCTGTTGAACTATAGAGATAGTTTGAGAATAAAGCATTGAGCAATTACATGCACATTTGGGAAGTCTTTTCTTTGCCTCACATCAATAACCATGCCCATACTTCGCAATCCTGACTCCTAAGTCAAAAAAGAATTAAACTTCTTGCCAGATACGCCCCATACCAAGTGAAACGCCACCGAGGAAATCTAATTAATAACGTAATGATGTCAAAAAAGGTGAAAACATTGCCCACCTCATTCGAAGCTCATCTCTCTGAATCTTATGTCTAAGAGAGTATTAATAAGGTTAACCAACCGACGTAAAACGGCCAAAAAAATTTAGGCGTTAGCCGTAATAATTGACACATTTTAACCGATAGGCGTACAATAAAAGTTAGCCGTAAAAGCAATTTCTGGTGACAACGATGGAATAATATTAACCGTTGGCCGTAAAATCGCCAACATTATGACCGTTAGCCTTAAAAGCCGTTACTCCATTGAGATCCTATTCTAAACTACCAAACTTACAAGATTAAAAGTCTGTATATCACCTCCGCCCTGAACCTCTAAGCTTCAGTGCAGTAGCAAGGCAGATTACAGGTAATAGTTTAATTCCACTGCGCGTTGCAAATCGCAAAGCTTGAAGCAGAAAATGTAATTCCTGCGCTAAACGATTGGCACGCGCCATGGGCAAGCAAACCAGATAAAAGCTAAGAAATCAAGAGAAATATCACAATGAGTACTTGATAAATTAGAGCATAGATATGCAAATGACTTCAATCGCCTGAAAATGTTTTGACCTGAGGCACTAACGCATCGATAAATTCTAATCTTCAACATACCCCCCGGGCATTTGAACTTTTGACAATTGGCTCATTCAAATTGGCGTACCCCGTGCAAAAAATGTGTTCAAATGCCCCACCCAAGCATAACGAAAGGTCTTTGTGTGATCATTAGATTTTGTAGAATCAAGCAAAGTTTGTGGTGCCACTTATTGGTTTTCCTCTCGTAAGCGTCATTCTACGATGTGGAAAATTTCTTCTAAGGTATTTTCTCACGAAAGCGGACTCTCTACCTTTAAACTCCTCGTGTATTCCACCGGTTCAAATTTCTCAACCCACCCAGGCCGGTTGAAATTTCCCACCCCCGGGCAGGGACGACAATGAAATACCCGTGAGTCACCGGCGGGGAGAATGTTGAAGCTTCAGATTGATCGGCACATTCCAGTTTTAGCTTGGGATGTGATTGATGGAGAAAATGGCAATTTGCCTCACTCCATCCGAGAGTGAAGTAAAGCAAAACCATCGCGATACTGAAGAACTTTCGACACTGCTGAAGTTTCTCCATTGTAAAATGAATGTGGCTTTATTATACTTTGCCCGAACGAAATTTATTGTAAAAAATACTCTTTCTGGCAGATGTTAACCAAATTTTTAGGCCTCATTAGCAATTCAACAGATACTACAGTCAATCCAACGGGGGTTTAGCTTCCAACTAGTTACAAAAGAGTGTCGTTCGTGTCGGTATAAATTATTCATATTTTATTGTTATCTCTTTTTGAAGAAAAAAATTCTTAATCATGAGCTCCTGATATACATCGCTGAGCAGACAAAAAACAAAATGTTTTGCGTTGCAATAAATAAGATTTGAATGGTTCTGTAGGAAAACCCATGACCCCGCTTGTACTAAATAGGTGTTTTTTTTCACAGTCGCCGCACATTCCCACAGGGCAAAAAATAAAAAGACAAAATGAATAGTTTAGAACCCAAGGAAGATGGAAGAAGGAGTAAAAATAAAAATGAAGACAGATGCCATGGCTCGTTCTGGCACATGTTGCTGAAATCTAACCTCTTTACCCCGTTGACGTGATCAGCAGTTCTCCCCAGCAATTTGGTACTGCACTATTTTAAGATAAAATCTTCCAGCTGGTGTGTTTGTTTATTCACATCACCTGCTTCTTGAATAATACATTGAAATTGTGGAAGTTAGAAGTGGCATGTTAATAAGGCAAATACATTCCAAAGAAATGTCAATGCTAAAGCATATTTTTGGGATAAACAAAGTGGAAAATTTGAAATACCGTGGCCTCGCACGGTGAAACAGTTTGGCTGATGTCTTTTCGTAGTAGCTTTAAATCATCTCAAATATCAGCATTGCGCAAAAAGGGTTTAAAAGGAAGAGCACTAGCTGTGTTCGTCACGTCACTCTCGTAAAAGGCCAGGCAAAAGAATATAATTGATTTATTTCAGTGCTTTATTTCGCCTGACACCATCATTCATAATAGCTACATTTTATCCAAGACTCGAAACTATGCACTCTCGGACTGGACTTTTCTTCATTTAGCCGGAACTGGCCCTCCCGACGGGCGAAGTTTGTTCGATTCCCGTTTGGATTGGTTCATGTCGCCTTTGCACGCTTCCAAGAGAACAAGGCAACTTCCCTGCGCCTTGCAATTATTAGCCTGGTCGACACAATTGAAGAACTTTTTGCAACTTGGCTGAAAGGAAAACATGATGAAATTACTTTCCATTATTTTCCCTGGAAAGGGAATACTTTGAAGAGCCAGGAGTTCATATTAATTTTTTAAAAGATGTTAAAGCTTTCACTGGACTGATAGGAAGAAACACTAGTAACGTTTTCAACTGAATAAGCACCCGGGGGCTTATTTTAAAATCTCGGCAAAAAGGAGGGGCGCTTCTTGGAAGAGGGGCGCTTAATCGGGGGGTCGCCTATTATTCTCCTGCACTGATTCCCCTTTAGTTAGAGCTTAAAAAGTTATAAAGAGTGGTTATACAAACAGGTTCTCTTTGTATCCCTACTAATCAAAAAAGGGAGTTGGAGGAGAGTGGAGCGCTTATTTGAGAAGAGCACCGTGTTTAAGATTATGGCCTAAGGGACAGGCGCACATTCGAGGGAGGGTGCTTGAATGGGTTAGGGTGCTTGTTAGAGGACATATGGTATCCGTTAACGTATGCCGTACTCGTCACTCACATTGGATGGTGGTGAAGGCAAATTTTTCCTGGCGCACTTGATAGCGTCGACTTCACAGGAAACCTTTCCACATGGCTTTTTTCCTGCGTTACTGATGCAGTTGTCATACTCTGTTTGGCATTGTCTCTATGAGAAAGTTTATAGGAAGGGGTCAATTCATTGCAGTTTTACTGATTTGCGGTACTTTATCGCTGAAAGGGGACCCCTTCATTTCAAGGAACTTAATAAATGTTTGGATCATAGAGAGGAAAGAGAATTAAAAGTGATCGTCTCTGTTTTAAATGTAATTATTCTATTTTCCCTGTTCTGTATGTTCAGCATCCATCCCTGATTCCTGGAGAGATAATAAAGGAAACAGTAAAAGAGCTGAACTTACCGGAGGTCTTGGAAAGTCCATTTGCAATTCTGCCAAAGCCACTGAAGCACCGAGGATCAAAAGAAGTAGTTGATAATTCATCTTGAGTTCTTCACTCGACTGATTTGCAATGTGTCTCACACCGTCAGCTGAGGCTCGTCATTTTATAATCCTCCCAAACTGGATATTTCATTTCCATTGAAAAAAGCTACAACAATGGAAATATTTGTTCAATCGTTCTGTTTCCCCCAAAATCTCGTTATTCTAAACCTCCTGATCCCATTGTGCGTGCATTTGTGATCTGATATCGGCAACACTACTGATATGTAGCAAACACCCGTCTTTCTTAAGTCAGCAGGTCAAGTTTCTTTTCATGTCGTTTAAATTTCTTTGCTACCACAAGATGAAGTTAACATTTTTTAATGCCCTTTTAAAGTAAACTGCAGTTCCTCCATAGAATCTATGAAGTCCAAAACATTTTTCTGTTTTCGTAATACTTATGAAAGAAGGCAAACCCATATCCACAGTTATTGGATACAGAACACGTGAATAGCAGTGTTCGCAAGAAAAGTAATCATATGGGCAGGTGTAGGTTGAGTAAATATCAAAAAAATACTTCTTTGATTTCCACACCTGTGTGTCAAAATGAGGAACACAACACTTTTCTCATGTATCCGCAAAAGAGATATCAGCTTTTTCGGTTGAACAGATGTTTGTTTCGTTGAGAATTGATCAACACTGAGGGTAAGAACTGGATCTTTGATCAAAATTGTAGTTATATAGCGCTTTGAATAGCTTGTTAGCAGTTCAGAACATTTTGGAGTAATCGAACACGTAAAAGTTTTATATCATTTTCACAGTCATGAAAAAAAACACCTGACTGAATATTAAACATTACAATGTAAACATAGCTTCTTTGTTTGGCCACGTAGGAACATAATAATAGATTGCGTGTTTAGTTTCAGGGGAAGAAAGAAAACAAGAAAAACGGAAAAAAATCTGCGAAGCGGGGATAGGAACCTAGTTTTAACATGTTAAAAATCTCCAACAACGATCTCCTTTTACTCTTTTTGTTCTACTTGAATTAAGCATCTAAACCACGATCTGGTCATATGATAAAACTGAAAAGAAGATCGGCGAAAGTCACTAAAAACAAATGTAATTGAAGTTAAATTAATGTATGAAAATAGATAAATAAACCAAAACTGGAAACAACAAATGGAATTCTACACTTTTTCATAGAGTTGTCGATGTAAACAGAATAGATTTCAGCTGCAAAAATAAATTTAAAAAAACGCACACAAACATAAAACGAAGAATAAAATCATAGCCAAAAAAAAAGTGTAGTGATACTTTTGCTCTGGAAATATTTTTGGTAAATTGAATTCATATACTAGTTCAAGAGGTTATTTTGCTCATACATGAGTGACAAAAAGAAGAAGGCACGAAGAAAACTTGAGATGCGAGCCAGCGGTCATTTACTCGCGCATACTAGATGGATAAAATGGACACCCGCTGGTCGATGCTTAATCTCTCGCCGCACGCTGGCACTCTTCTCCACAATTAAACATCAATCGAAACTTGAAACTGAAGATACAAGATTGCGACCTGTATTATTCATTCATTAAAATTGCACCAGACAAACATGAAGTGGGTGCGAAAGGGGAAGGCCTTACTCTATTATCAATGAAGAGGGAAAATATCTTGAATTGCTCCATGGCGGTAACCTAAGATTGTAAGAATCGGCAAAGTCCAAGTGTGGGTGATGGACATGAGTGTCTTTGTTTTAGTATAACCGACCGCCGACATGGCTAATCACACGTTGTCGTCACTTCAAGGACCTTTCAAAGAACTCAACCGTTTTGTAAAATTACGTTACCAGGCAAAAACTTAGCTGAACACGAGTAATGGGCAGCAGAAATTCGAGCTTGGTCATCTAAAATGATTGTTATGAATACACGATGAGCACAATAAAAATACACCAGAACACTGTAATTTTTTCTTTTTTTCGAGGGAGAGGGGTTTGGAAATTCAGAAGAAGGGCTGAATAAGCTTTAACGATAAGTCTAACGCGTGACGAAGTTCTTTTTGCTTGACATATGCGTTTGATTTCCCTTTTTTGACTGAAAATACCCAGCCTCTATTGGCTGTGCATTGTATGCTCTGTCAAAGAACAGAAACAATGTCTAGATCTGTGTATTTTTTCTTTTGTACATAACGTTAAGTTGAAAGGAAGAATAAGAGAACGAGTGAACGTAACAATAAAAATGGATTACCCTTTTCGGTTTCGAAGAGCCTTTTACAGACATTTCCCAAAGAGTTACCGTCACTGTTTAAAGATTTGACTGGAAGTTTCTAGCACAAAGCCTTTCATTCATGTCGGCAAAACCCTTGGTAATGGAGGTGACTCAAATAAAAACCTTTATAGAAGGTTGCTCATTAGAATCTCAAACAAAGGTAAGAACTTTAATTTTAATATACTGTTGAGATAAGCGTTTGATTATCCTGCCCTGGCTGATAATATCCTTTAAGACATGCTCTAAATCTAATTCCCTGTAACAAAAATTAAGAGTGAAAAAAAAATATTGAGCCAGAATATATTATTTATTACAGCAAGGACTTTAAATGCATTAAACACGTTCCCAACATTTGAATAATGAAGCAAAAATTAAGTCATACAACCAAGCGCTTTGAGATTATTTTAAACAACTGAGTGTCAAGATTGTAAAGGAGGGCTACAGCTAAAGTTGAACAAACGACCATGAGATACTCTAAGTTGGTACAGTTACTCTGTTTAATAAAAAAAAAAAAACATTGCGGATTGTTTAAATCAATATTTCGCATCGGAAAATTTGACTAATCTTCCTAACTTCCTGAAAGTTGATAGGACAAAGAATTTCGCGCAGGTATCAAACGCATTGAAGTTAAAAATCTCCTGTTGGAATTGAATGCCTATAGAAGCTGTAGCCCCGACGACATTCATCCAAGAATCTTGAAATGTTGCGGCAACTCACTAGCCTCGCTCCTGCGCTCTTTGTTTAATAATTTATTCAAAGTTGGTAAAATTCCGAAGGCCGGGAATATAGCTGCTTATTTGTTTATTATTTACACAGCTCAGAGTTATTCCGCTTTATATGAAAGGTGCCAAAATTAAAGTGGAGAGCTACAGACCTGTTTCCCTATTTTCTGTTGTCAGTAAATTTGCGAGAAGATTGAAAGGAAGTCCAAGGCCAAGTCCAAGCAGTTGGTTCTATGGAAGAGCGTTCCTGCCTACCCGCGAAACTTTACTTGACAGTTTCCCACAGGGGGCCCTGAACCGGGCACTCTTTGACCAGGCAGGGAGTTACTTACATTTATTCTAGACCAAACACAAACAGAGAAAGAACCCTTGTGCCCAAATAAAACGGATACGTGTGTTCTAGCCCGGTTTCCCTTCATTAAGGCTCTATTGCTAGCTAGATTCAGTAAAAGCTAGGATCGAAAAATTTTAACAATATTTATTCAATTCAACTGCAGTCCTTGCACATATTCAATGTCCTTGGTTAAAAAAGTTCGCAGTTTAGTGTGGTCCTTTAAAAAATATATAATATATATGTAAAATATGATTTCTACAGAGAGTTGAGAATTTTGGAACAATAACTTACACACTATCTATTAGATTACATTCTGAACTATTACAGTAAACTGAAAAAGAGATTATACATTATAAGGACTACGTAACCCGTAAAACAATTTCCTAGCATTAATGTGTAATTTTAGAGTAATACATAACTCTGCTCTTCATAAAATCATTAGCTCAGATGAAAAAAAATTCCGAGTTAGAGTACAGCTTTGCGTAAATGACTTATGTAAAGTCCAAATAAACTCATTTGAACGAGTGTACAATTGGTTGTACAACGCCTACATTTGGCTTCGAAAACGAACAAGGCAGAACAAAATATTCCTTTTTGTCCAAGTATATTTCGTTTAAGCTTAAACATTACACTCTTGGAATCCACCAACTAAAAATTGAAAGCCACTAAAAATTGGAAAATATGTTGTTACTTTATTTATAAGTCACTAGTTCATACAGACCTTTTAAAAGTTTTCTCTTAGAAGACAACGATATTCATTACATAAGTTATAAAAAAATAATTCAATATTGAGAAAGATGTTTTTTTTCGTCTTGTTACGAGACAAGAAAAAGTTCCCATGAGGAATGGAACCTCAGACCTTTGGATTCCGCGGTCTGATACTCTACCTCTGAGCCACAGAGACTCCGAGGTAAGTGAGGTCTATTATGAAGTTCATATGACATGGGGACTCAGAATTTTTCCTGTGTCCCTCGTTCGTGACAAGACGAAGAAAATATCTTTCTCTATTTCTTTACCGAGCTCAAAACTTATCATCTCTCTTATTTCAATATTTTTGGCATCTCATTACAGCTAAATCACCAGTATAACCTATTGTCTGTAGTTTAAAACTTTTTGTTACAAAAGTAACAACATTATTGCCAACAGACCCGTTATACGAAATTGCAGTTGCATTTATAGCCTATTTTTTAACACAGAGAAATTCGTCTATCGAATAATGAACGTTAAATAATCATTTGTGTCATGATACTGAGTCATTTCTCAATTCTTGATCGCGATGTTTCGACTGCCTCACTGCTGGTCATTTTTAATACTCCGTTCAACAAGTGATAGTGACTACAAGGTCAGTTATCTAATTAATCACCTTGAACAATAATCTTTAAATTGTCATTCATAAAAATGGAATTTATTTCATGACAAGCGAAACGTAACAGGAGGAACCTGTCAGAGCTTTGTGCCACTGACATGTTCCTTGGTCTACTTTTTAGTTGAACGGAAAAGTCGTAGAGCTCCTTTAACTTCCCAGTCAGTACCAGTTAACATTTGAAACAAATATTTTTTTCCATCTGTCCCATACCGATTTCCCTGAAGGTTTAAGCTCTGTAGTTTGCATTTGGTATCAGTCAAGGCCTTACACAGGTGCTTGATTCCTTCATCTCCAAATTCATTGTAACTTATGTCTAAACTTGTTAAGGTACAGAACCCGTTGGTTAAAACTTCAGACAATTCTTTTATTCCTGCATCTCCTAATCCATTAGAACGGACTTTTAACTTGGTTAAAGTACAATTACTGCTGGTCAGTGCATCACACAAGTATTTCAATCCATTCTCTCCCAACTCATTGTAACTGACGAGTAAGCCTGTTAATCTGCAGTTAACACTGGCTAGCGCGTTACACAAGTGCATTATTCCTACGTCTCCTAACCCATTTTTACTGACGTTTAAGCTGGTTAATGTACAGTTAACGCTGGTTAGCGCGTTACACAAGTGCATTATTCCTACGTCTCCTAACCTATTTTCACTGACGTTTAAGCTGGTTAACGTGCAGTTAACGCTGGTTAGCGCGTTACACAAGTGCATTATTCCTACGTCTGCTAACCTATTGCAACCGACGTTTAAGTTTGTTAATCTGCAGTTAACGCTGGTTAGCGCGGTACACAGGTGTTCTAATCCTTGACTTTGTAAATCAATGCCATACAGTGTCAAGCTGTAAAGTTCACTCTGAGTAAGCGCTGCACTCAAGTTCTTCAAACCTGCATCAGATATCTGACTCCAACAGAGGATTAATCTGGCTACTTTCCAGTCCCTGTTGGTGATCGCGTTACACAGTGTTACCAAAGCAGGGTCGTACTCTGTTGGCCACGCATTCAATATGCCTGACTTCGAACTGTATATCACTTCACTAAACACCTCCTCGTCCTCGTCCTCGTCCTCGTGGCATTCCCATGGTAGTTCTACGCGGGGGAGCTCATCCGTAAACAGCAGCACCACTTGCCATGCAACTTCTCTGATGTGAATAGCAAGGAATGTTTTCAATTCGTCTTGATCCATTGCTTCTCGTAATTCCTCCAAGGCACGAGGTGATTGGGGTACTAAAGGATTAAAACAAAAGAAATATTAATTTTTTACTTGAAAACTACCTTTACATTGTTTTTGTCTAAAAACTGACAAACCACAGAAAATACTTAGGCAAATTGGACACAAAAATAATTTCGAGTCTCCGCGTTTCGACTTATTGTTGAATCATCCCAAGTCAAAGGAAACCAGTTGGGAAAACATGGAGACGGACAGTACCTTTTTTCTTTTTCTTTTCCAAGAAGTCTTAAAATGTCAGCAAATCATTTGCGAAGTTGTAAATCATTGTCATAAAGTTTTATTCCAATATTATCTTTTCCCCCACTAGTAATCTAAAACTCTTAGAGTCGAAAATGCCTGAGAGAGAAGTTGTTGTTGTTTTTTTCCAAATCTGGTGTTAAAGTTTCAGAACATTTTCAAGAACACAAGAGAAAAAAAATTGTTTTCACTTTGCAAACATAACAACGAAGTACTAGTGTTGATAAATTGAAAAAGACGTCTTTTTCTTGAGAATACGATCATAAAGTACTTAGGTTACACCACAAAAGCGACCAGCTTTAACATCAGAATTCTATGCACTTATGGACCGAGTAGAAGGGTTATGTCGGTCCGGCCTAATCTTACTCAGTCAATCAGATTTTTATTCCATGAACGCCGCTCTTCTCATTCTACTTTCTTCTCACGTGGACGCACGCTTGGCCCTGCAGCTTTTAATGCCCCCGCCAGCGCAACCGCGCATGGCCTTCATACAGGGGTTTATTTATAAATCTTTTTTTTTTCTTATTAAGAACGGGCATTAGACCGCGCAGGTCATTTGATGATTATATAAAGGTACCAGGTCTACTGAGAATGAAAAAACCCCAACACAATATCACAAATCTGGGTTAAAAGAAAAATTCCTTGACCATTACACAAACCTAGCATTTCTCAATAGTCTTACCACCGAATATAGATAGCTGGACGTATGTTTCAAAGCCAATACAGCTTATTTTAACAATGTTAAGTACCTTGCTTGCGTAAAACAAGTTTGGCTGACTCATTTAATAAGTAGCTGACATAGCTCTGGAGTTCCTCGGGTAAACTGACATCAAACTTCGCCAGTCCTGATCTAATGGTCGGATACATGGCGTTCTCTAATGCTATCATAAAGGACACAAAAAGACACAAACTATTTTAGTACTAAAGGTCACATTCTCAGTTCAGAGAAATTATTAAAATGAGGAACTACTTAAAAGACAACGCAAGAGTCAATGTTGTCATTAACTGTGAAAGATCACGGACAAGCTTGGGATCAAATTTAAATTTATCATTTAAAGATACCACCAACACGTTTTGTCGATCGTTTCCGACATGGAACATTCATGCAAAAGTTCTTTAATGCACGAGCTACACGAGGGTCTCAATGGGGTGATGGCTTTTGCGGCTAACGGTTAAAATTTTGGCCATATTAGGGCTAACTTTTTCCTGTTAGGGAGTTTAAAAGAAATATTTCTTTGGTTAACTCTTTGTAATCTAACGTTATTTTTGAGGGAAAAGAGAGTTTATCGAAAATTATCGCCCCGTGTCGTTACTTCCAGTGATCTCTAAAGTTCAGGAGCGGTGTGTGGCCTCGCGCCTTGTCTCTCACGTTAAGAAGATCTTGTATCCTTTTCAACATGGTTTTCAAAAGGTCAAGTCTTGCGTTACTCGGCTTATTGAAGTATTCTATGACATTGGTCATGCACTGGACCGCGGGCTAGAATCAGACATAATTTACATGGACTTTGCCAAGGCTTTCGATTCTGTGCGCCCGGCAAAGCTCGTGTTGAAGCTAAAAACGTTTGGAATCGATGATCCCCTACTCGCCTGGTTTTACTCATACCTAACTGGAAGGCGTCAAAGAGTGGTTATAAATGGAACTTTCAGTAATTGGACTGGCGTTGGGTCAGGTGTACCCCAGGAGTCACTTCTAGGACCGATTCTCTTTTTATTATTTGTAAATGACATGCCAAATGTAATTAATAGTGCGACGCTGGCTATGTTTGCTGACGATTCTAAATGTTATAGGATCATAAATAATGATGCTGATTTTTCGAAATTGCAGCAGGATTTAGTTTCGCTTACAACTTGGTCCTTGTCAAATTAATTGTATTTTCAGCCTACAAAGTGCAGTAATCTGCGTATATCTAGGAAGCGTATTAGTTCATATCGTAGCTATAGTATAAATGGTATAGATGTGGAGGCTGTCTCTACTGAAAAAGATTTGGGGGTAGTGCTCGTAAATGACACCTCTCGGAAGGATCATATACTCGTGATAGTTGCTAAAGCAAATAGGTTACTGGGCTTTATTAGAAGGAGCTGCGCAGGAATTGTTGGCAGTGTTCCGCCGTTGCGTCTTTACTGTTCATTAGTGTGTTCGCACTTTTGCTATAGCTCTCAGTTATGGGCACCTCAGTCTGTTATCAGCAATTTATTCTTAGTTAAAAATGTGCAAAAAAGAGCCACACGCTTTATACTAAAAAGAAATAGTAGTAACTTATCTCATGAGGATCGCTTAATCAAACTGAAGTTATTGCCGCTTAATTACTGGCTTGAATATCTCGACTTAGTTTTCTTTTTTAAATGTCTTCATGGTCATATTGATCTAACTTGTTCATTTAATTACTATTTTTCCTTTGTTACGAGTCAGATGCGTCAAGCGTGCTCAGAGCTGAACTTTAAGATTAATAAAAATCATACATCAACATTTCGGGACTTCTATTTTAATAGGATAGAAAATTTGTGGAACAATATACCTAATAATGTTAGGCAGGCTGAGTCTATTGACTCTTTTAAGCGTAAACTTAAGTCGTTTTATTTCAAGAGACTTTTCAACGTGTTTGATGGCGACTACTTTCTTACCTTTAAAATAATTTGTCCTAAATGTCGCCGGGTAAATACCCTTGTTGCGTGCACTTGTTAAGCAGCCTATTTAGTCTATTTATATTATTAAGTTATTTTAGAAGGGGGTTGGGTTGGAGTTAAACCTAGTAGGGAACTTATGTCCTATTGTTTTTGCTTCGGTACTGCTTTGTACAAATCCTTAAATCAATAAATAAGTTAAGGATCTTGGAATTCACATCAAATCAAATCTATCATGGAGCCTGAAAACAAAGCAAACAGCGTGCTCCGATTTATAAGTCGAACAAAGGGCCCCAGGAATCCTAAATTGTTCTCGAAATTTTACATGAGTTTAGTACGTCCAATACTTCAGTACCTCTCTCCAGTGTGGTCTCCACACCTCAAAAAGGATTCGGCTATTTTAGAGAAAGTACGACGCAGAACACCTAGATATGCAATCAAAAACATTGCCCGAGATATGTCTTATGAAGAGCGCTTAAAGGTCCTTAAATGGCTAACTCTACATCAGAGAAGATTATTTTCTGCGCTTACTGAGTGCTATAAGACGGCTAACAGTCTTAACGAGCTACACCTATTTGAGTATTTTACATTTGCACATGATTTTCGACCATTAAGAACCAACCATCGCCATAAACTTAAACCATTGGCCGCAAAGCTAAACAGTTTTAAGTACTCTTTCTGTGCAAGTATAGTCAATAAATGGAATAATTTACCTAAAATAGTTGCAGAGGCAGAAACTCTGAACATTTTCAAGAGCAGGGTCAGACGCCATTTTACTTATTTTCTAGGAAATTTTTAACTATTTTCCTGTAATTTTTAATTATTTTAGGAGACAAACTTGAAAGGGGTTACCTCTTTTGTTTTCTTTTTACCTTTCATTAAAATTTGAATTGTGAATAAACAGTTATGTTATGTTAAGACTTACGGTTGAAATTCGTCAATTTTTACGACTAACGGCAAAATGTTTTCGCTATATTACGGTTAACGGTTAGCCCCATTGAGGCCCTCCTACATGTACTACAGTTCACTGACATGCATTAGTAATACATGCACTATTGAAGCAGCAATATGGAAATGCTAATAACCTCTGGTAACGCGATGTGGTCATCGTAACTCTGAGGTGGCTTACACAAAGGCTCCTCAACGTTCGACACACAAACTCAATTTAAAAACTGCATGTGTACATCTTGTTCTGAATTAGAGCACAATTTGACGCTTGCGGGGTCTTAACACATCAAGGTTGTAAATGGATACGATTAAAAATGCCTAACCACTCCGATAGAATGCTAGAGTTGTATCCAAGATTCACGACAGTACCGCGCACTTGATGTGCGTGCAAATCCCGTGCACTGCAAGCACGCACCACGAAACTACGCATAACATGAAGCAGTACCTGTAATTTTGCATATGTACCAAAATTTGAAAGTTTCTAAGATCAGCATGAGCTTATCTTAAGAAGCCAGTTATTTTTTAACACGTGCTAAGAAGAAATTCACTTTTCCCTGAGCTTTTGTTTCCTTTCTTTTACTATTTTCTTTTTCTAGTGCAATGTGAGGTTGTCTCCTTAGTACATGACGGCTGATGGCTGGGTCGCCAGGATTTACCATTCGTGAAAATAGTCTCCATCTAAGTGCTGGGTGCCAAAGTAATAATGTAACTTATATCTGTAATGAGCATTGCAGTTGTTAATAATTACTGCAGAAAAAGACTGCACGTGCAGGAGTTCCGTGGAAAAAGATACTTCGATAAATAAGCGGGAGTGTTTAATAGCATTCTACTAAAATCGTTTTTTCTCTAAATGAACATTATTTATTCACCTTCCATCTTGACTTTCTCAAGTTCCTTGCGTAGTGTATGTACTGTATGAAAGGTGGAAAAAAGGGAACGTGAACTACCTGAGAGAAGTAAACAGCAAAATGGTTTAAAGAATTTTTAAACACCATTCTTGATTGATAACATTATATAAGAAGAGGGGTTATCTTAAATATGGAGTAAATACACATTATCCAATGCTTCAACACGTAATGAGCAGCGCAGATGTTTTTGCAAGTTGCATGCAGGGCTTAGGTATTGGAGAGAAAATAACAGGAGTCCTTTATAACCAACTAAAAGGAAGTGTGTCACCTTTCAGCTTGTTACTTAAAAAATCAAGCCTGAAATACTAGTATAACCATTTCCTTGCATCACTTTCCATATTTCTTTTGCCCAGCTCAACAGAGTTAATACACATGTTTCACTCACCTTTCTCTCTTTTTCTATCTTCAAGTATCCAAATAAGTCGTCGAAGTTGTTCTAGTTCATCTTCAAGATCAGAAGTAAAGAGTTCAGGGGGAGGCAAAGTACCTGAAGGGAAAGGTAAACAGAGAGATACACTGTATTTAGCATTCAGTGCCTTACCTCGCATAAATGGTTAAAAACAGGCATTTAACAAACACTTCACATTGTACTAGGCTCATGTGAAGAACTGAAAGTATTAGATAACTATCTCACTTAATAATTATAAAGGAAGAGGGATCATCTTTACTAAGGAATAGTTTCCCTTGAAAATGTATAATTTGAATAAGGAGTGGAAGCATTCATCAATAGTAATAAAATCAGATAACAGATTATTTTAAATAAGGAATAATTTTCCTTCAAAAGTGATAATTGGATACGGGGGTGGAAGCCTTTAACGGCATTCTTGGATTTATTTCTCTCGGATAATGAATAAATAAACATTTTATATTCACCTTCCATTCTGAGCCTGTGAAGCTCCATGCCTAGTTCAGCTAGTTTTTTCTCAAGATCAATGGTTGAAAATTTAAGGACAGAAAAATTACCTGAGAGCAAAGGTACACAGAAATATATTTAACACTAAGTACCTCACCTGATAAAAAAGTTAAAGCATGATAACATGTATCGAGGTCAAGTGAAAGAACAATAATGCAAGTTTTCCATTATATCATTGTGAAATAACCTATCTATAAGTAATATTTCATTATCACATGCAACAGCCAATTTGATACTTCCTTTAACTGAGGTTGAGGATTAAGAGACAAAACTGAATTGAAAATATTTTCTTTAACAAAACTAAGTTACTGAATAACAGCTGAAAGCATTTCGCAGTATTCTTGGATGAAAGTAAAGACAAAAAAACGTTAATATCTCAGATAGGGAATAATTTCTCTTAAAGAGTTTACTGGAAAAACATGAATTCATTTCATAGCATTGAGCTATTTACATGACTAAAATATTAAAAAATATATAAAAAGCAAACATTTTCAAAACCAGGTCATCATCAGGGTGATGATGACCTGGTTTTGAAAATGTTTGGTTTTTACCTATTCAATATTTTAGCTTATTTTTTAAACCTAAGCAAACTTTATGGACAGTTATTAGCATTCTTGTATCAGTTTCTCCCTAAAAATGACAAGATATGAATTTTTCTATTCACCTTCCATTCTCAGCATCCGAATTTCCTCAAATACTTGATCTAGCTTTTCCTTAAGATCAGCGACGGGGAGAGATGAAGAACCTGAGAGCAAAGGTATACAGAGCTTTTCAAAATTCAGTGTCTGACTTTACACAGAAAAGATAACAACAGATATACTTGTGCAAACAGCAAATTATAGTCATGTTGAAGTAAAACAGTGTTAGATCTTTATTGTAACTCCATGATCATCGTTGAAAACAATCATTATGTATTTTTACCACATGCCGACTCAATACCATCTTTAGCTAAAGTAGAGAATGAAACAATGCCAAATTTGGATTAATCTACAGTTGACTCTCGCCCTGCGTACCCCTCACTATTACAGACACCTCGCCACCGCAAACAAGAGCCAGCCCCTAGGGAAAAGCATGAAGAAACGAAATAAATTCCCTTTAAAACGGACTCTTCCTTTTATCGAAATGTAGACACTTTCAAGCCCCACAGCACGACATTTCTCTTGTTCTTTCTCTCGCTATAACAGACACTTAATACTTCATCCAAAATCCTGACAAACATACTATAAAGCGACATTATGAAAAAAGAAAATAAAGAAACCATTCTTCAATTGGGTGTGAACATGAGAATTTCCTGCTTGCGGCCTGATCTTTTTCCCGTTTGTGAGGCCACGTTGGAAACTTTATTTTATCTCTCATACCCCGTTATTACAGACTCTTCGCTATTACAGAAACTAAATCTCCCCGCTAGGGTGTCCGTAGTAATGGAGTCAACCCTCAGGGGTAAGGTACAAAGTGCAACTCATGGTGTTACTTTTAATAGCGACACGATAACAGGTCAAATCAACATGTGATTAACTGATTGTATATGATGTACAAAATCTGTCTAAACTATATCATTGTCAGTTTTTTAAGGCATAATTTAAGATCAACACCGATAAAACTTAGTTTATCATTATATACTGTTTCACCATCCTCAGCCTCTACCATCTTAATATTCCCTTCTAGCAAAACACAGAGTGAGGGAAACTAAATTGGGTGAAATTTCCTTTCAAAAAAATATTTTGAATGAGAACTAAATGTATTTAAAAGCATTCTTGGTTTAGTTTTACCACAAAATTTAATTTAACAGCATATTTTTATTCACCTTCCATTATTAGAAGTTTCTTACATAGCTCTTCTAGTTCTTCTTCAAGATCAAAGGTGGAAGATCCAGGAAGAGGCAACATGCCTATAAACAAAGGTATGTAGTGAGATATTACCATTTCTACTAATTAAAAGTTGGGAAAAGGCATACTAACTTGCATTTAAAGATACTAGAGGGTACATGTACACTGTAGATTACCTTCATTTAAAAACAAAAGCTTTAAAACCAAAAAAAAAAAAAAGCCAATGAGAACAACCGAAAAAGTAATCACTCTACATGTATGTAACGTTTCCTTAATTCATTGCATGGAAACTCAGCACTACCTTTAACTAGAGAAGAGAATGAGGCAGAGACACATTTCTAATAATTTGCATTGACAAGTATCATTTTTCATAATTGCTGACAGAAGCATTCTTGCTTATTAATAACATTAATTTCTATTCTAAAAGATGACTAAAACCACATTCACGTTCTTTCTTGATTTCCTGAAGTTTCATGGCTTCACTCCTACAACTTTTTAGGCCAATTTACGCACGGATGAATTCTTCCACTTCTTCAATGTCAATGCATCAAAACAACAAGTCAGTGATTTGCTATGTTGTTTTCTTTTTTTTTCTTGGAGCATGTCAGGGGGATCTGAACCCAAACTGGAACCTATGCTAGACTTCAACACGTCAGCAAAAACAACTGAAAGTAGTAAGCCCCACATCTTTTTATTCATTTCAAGGTGCTTTGATATCCGTGTTAAGGGTAGATCAACTAAATCCACTTAAAAGCGGGTACTTTTCCCAATAACTTGCCAGACAATACAACTTTTTACTTGGCTTACTGGTAGAAGCTGAACATAATGAGCAACATATTTCAATTACAATAACTTCAAAAATAATTCAAACTGTGCATCCTGTTCACCTTTCCTTCCCCACCGTTCTTCTAGTTCTTTTCCATGACCAGTGGTCGGTACCACAATGAGGGGTGAAGTACCTAAGGGTAAAAATGCAGAAAGAGATTAGCATTCACAGCTTCTCTTCAAATGTTTTGTTCTCATAATTGGAACTTGTGTATCTATTTGTGTATTTCAAATACATTTCAACGGTCTTATGAAATATTTTTCTCGCATGCAAATTTTTGTCGTATACAAATATATTTCGTATTCTTTCGGTTATCATTGTATATTTATTGTCTTGTAACTCCGATATGCCACACAAAAGTAGCAGACAAAAAATCTTTTGAGTGTTTTTGGTCAGCAAAATGCAATCCCCTACATAAATTTCCTTTGATAATAAAATAACCTTTTCCAGCTGTTCAGTTGATAAAACGGAGCGAAACAGTAGCGGCAGAGCGAAAGGAAAGGATAATGAGTATACAAAAGTATCTATAAGCATACAAGAGTCTGTGTGAGGATACAACGGTATCTACGCATAAGGGTATCGATTAACCCTTTACATCCTAAGATCAATATGCATATTCTCCATAATGTTTTCTATAATCCCTCAGGTGCTGACAAGGAGATTTTGCTTAAGAGAGGTTGTCAGTAATTTTCGAGAATCCGGCGACAGAAGCAAAAATTCAACTTTTTTTTTATTTGCTCCAAAAGACCCTTTTGGTGAATCGTTTTCAAAAACAATACTCAAAAGTTCCAGCGAGTTTTTATTTTGGAAAAAATACGAAAGTTCGAAATCGGCCAAAACGTACCTAATTTGCATAATTTCTATTGGGCTTTCAGTGCATTTTCACAACGCTCGTACAAGACAAAGAAAAATTGTCTTGGATTCATTTTTTCATAAGTTGTTTTTCATCCCTCGGAGTAGCTTTGCAACTATATTTCATTTCTAACTGAACTTTCTTTCGTTTGTAACCACCCGCGTGAAATACACTATATTTTCTATTCCGTTTGTACGCTGAATTTTGCTATATTTCACACGACCATAACATCGGGGGTATACGAATGTACATAAAATAAAAGAGCTCTTTTCAACGAGAAATTATTCGTGTTTATCATGTAAAAATATTATTTTTGGCCCGTGAAAAGCGAGCGCGCCAGACCAAAATATATAGCGTGCATTTTCACGGAGTTAGGCCATTTTTCTTGCTGTACTCCTACTGCAAATCGCACGCTATTGGGACAAAACTCGACGTGTTTGGTCTCTACTTCAGTTTTGATTCATTTAAATATATCCATTTTAACTTAAAAATTAACCTACCTTTATTGTTAAGTGAACAAACCACCGTTTTAGGTAAAGTTTTTGAGTTGGCTTTTCTCGAGTGATAAATAAACAAATCGCTGTTTATAAAGATACCAGCTCTGTCGATGTGTTTTTAGCTGAAAAATCGATGGGAAAATCGTAGCGTTTCTTTCTCCTGTCGTTTATTACTTTAAAGATTTGCTAAAATCAGGAAATAGGGCACTTGTGCAAAACCAAAACATTCATTAGTCTACAATTTGATTGTTTATTATCATTATCGCACAGTTCACAATAAGGAAACTGTAACAGGAGAGGAGATTTTAAATTCACATGCCGCGTGCTTGTTGACGTACAAGTTCCCGAGTATAACAATTTCGGCTTTTCGGGAAACTCTGCCCCCCTTATTTGATAGGAAATATCAATAGCCCCATACAATTTATTAACTGCACCATGTTTCCAGAAAATAAGACTGGAAAATGGTTTTTCCACTTTCCACCATAAAGAAATTTCACGTAGAAATAGTATTTGTAGCGTGACTGCGTGACCTTTCATGAGAAGTAAAATTGTTTTTCTTTTTTTTAAGAAGACACCTCCAGAAAGTTCTTTATCCTTCTCTCATCTTATTTGCCTGATTTTTGACTGCAAATATCATCTGCATTTGGCATTATTTTCGCTGATTGTCATGGCCTTTCCTGCGTGCACGTGCGAGCAAGTTCATATACAGCACTCTTTCGAGTTTCTTTGCGTGTCGGGCATAAGTGTGTAGGTCTGGCTCAAAAGATATCTGCGCGCCGCAACACGGGTTTCTATGTTTTCTCCTTTTTCTTTATTTGTATTTTTATTCTCCTCCTTGCATTATCACACATGTATGTTTTTTTTAATCCTTCGGCGCGTTCCCTCAGATTTGGAAGTAGGCTATGAAAAGTCAATATTGACCAGAACTGAAACCTTTTCTATCACTATTTGTTTCAAAGAACACCTGTTATTTATAACTTTATTTCTCAAGAGAATATGTTTTTATTTGCCATTTACTTCCATTAGTACATGAAACTAGGTTCCAATAAGTTTTTTTGTTTCGTGACTCCCAAAAGCTGTTTGCGACAACATCAGTTGAGAAATCAAAAGCAATTACACCTGAGAAATTCGCTTGTAGCCTTCTACGCGCAGAAGGCATCTACGTAATGAAGCTTTCTAAGACCTCTGTAAACTAGGGACATTACGTGATGTCGAGGGGTCAAATATTTACATTAAATCTGTGACCCTCAAACAGATTACGTACTCGTACATGTAACGTCCGAAAAATGTCACGCATGTATAACACCGTAGGCGCACCTGGCGAATTATATCCACTAGCTTCAATAGTAAAGAGACAACTTATTTATTATTTGTATATGAGCAAGCGTATTTACCCTACTTGTAAAACTCCTTGATGAAGTCTACTATTGTCAGACGAAATGCGTGGGAGATAAATACAAGTTTTTACTTTCTCAGTTCGTGCAGTGAGTTCGACAGAAAAATTAAGCTCACCCTGTCATAATCAATGATTTGATACCGTAAGTACCAATTTAGGTACATCATTGGGCTTTGATCACAATAATGAAAAAAAATGTGCGTTTCCCCACGCTCGCCACATTTATTCTTTGGAAAATTATTTTACTGGAGGGCGATGTCACTTAGCTTGGTGCGTCTTGACTCTGGCCGACGAAAATTATCGAGGTGAACCCCATGAAGTTCTTGTCAAATGTTTTATAAACTTTGTCTACCCTTGATTTGCACGCAATAAAAGGCAAATTCCGAACGATATTTCAAAATATTTTATTCACTGGTCAATTTATGACTGGTCAATTTTTTGTGACAGCCAAAGATAGACATCTCTGAAAAGTCTCTGAAACTCTTAAAGAATTTACACTGCCGGTAATATTTTCCTCCTTCTCGCAACAGCGCAACAGACATTGTTAATCCTATGTAGTGTAGGTTTATCAGTTGTATTACGTCTTCATAGTGATGCCGTATAAGAAATCGAGTGTCTAAAAGGCTCTCAATTCTCGCGCTGGCCAGGGACGGCAACAGCTCACACCTCTAAACTCGTGGGTGTACAGCATAAAAAACAAAAAAAACATTTGAGAGACGTCAATGTATCCCAAACATGCGTTTCGTCCGAGAAGAAGCTTATTCTAGCGCGTATTGGCTTATTTGGAGATTACGAAGGCCGCGATTTCACGATATATCTCAAATATAGTGCACAACTTGGTATGAGATTCAGACCTTCGGGTTTGTAAATGCCAGTATCCTCGTCATAAAAATCGGAGAAGTAAAGTTGAGAGAGAGGTGAATCTGAAGATGGCAGAAGAAATCAAAGCTGGTGGCAAGTCTTCCTGGTGGCAAGGTGACTGTAAACCTAATAGAACGCGTACTGTAACTGCTATCTTAGAGTCAGCAATGAATAAGGAAGAAGGGCAAGAAGAGCGCTTATCTGAACAACAGTTTTCCCAACTAATGATTTGTGACTGAAATGAACTTTATATCATATGATTGCTTGGGATACGCAGGTACTGTAGAGACACTCACATAAATAGAGGTGGGCGACCCTCCCTCTGACTTTAAAACTGCGACAAGTTTATAGCGCAGACCAACTGGCACAGTTTGGAGCACCTCAGGGTCTCACTAGGCTCATCGCATTAGAAACCTTCAGCAAACTAATCGTAGAAGTGGGTGGTTATCAGCAACGTGCACAGATCCCTGAACGCGGGTCATCGCGAGAACTATATCCAATCCGTCACAGACAGAACAAGAAAGCGAGATATTCTTGTAAGAGGAAGGATGTATCAAGACGTTTCAGTCATTGGCTGCCATCCAAAAGCACCCTAACAAAGGCAAACACAGTGAAGCTGACAAAAAAATCCGCCTATGATAAGATCAAGAGAAAATGGACGAAGACCGGCTTGCCATTTTAAAGGGGGTGGCTACGTTCAAGGTCGGACCTCAGGTAAACTTCTGACGAAACATCCCTAACTAGCCAAATGGACTTTGCATGGGCTCTTTGGAAAACACAAAAACCAGCCACCTTTTCTCAGAAAGCAAAGAATTATCTCCTTGACATGAGCTGGACAGGGGAGGAAACTAGTAAGGCAACCGCCTCTAACAAGGCAGAAGATAAGGAGTGACCTTGCAAATTTAGACGAAGACTGCAGGAGAGGGTACAGCTGCTATTAAGCTAAAAAAAAATAATAAAGATCTTTGCATCTCACTTTTCAAAGTTGTCAAATATTTGGATGAATCGAAAAGTCTAAAAACTCAGTCGTTTATTTGCCTCTGTTGATTGACAAGCCGTCAATCAAATTGACTGATACTTGAGGTGGACATTAACTAAGGATCAAGAAAAACCGGGGGGGTGGTCTATATCCCCCCGGAAAAAACCAAAACAGAAACCAGTTTGTCGTTTTTAGTTTTGGGGTAGATCCTTTAACCTGGCAAAGTTTCGTTGAAATCGGTGAGATGGAATGTGCACGACTGCCCGGTGCTAGATGCCATTTTTCTCGGATTTCTTCGACAATTTTTACCAACAGAATTCCAACCTACAGTTGATTTGAAAATGTATCTAAACAGGTGGACTACACAAACATACTATTTTAATTACAGTGACAGTGGTAGAAATCTATAAAAGCAACCGGGCAAAACACCGAGGTTCATGTACAATTAAGCGAGTATTTTCATGCGACAACTACATGTTTCGAATATTTTATGTGTGCGAAGATTTTATTTAGCTCACGCTCACGTATTTACAACAACATTTATAGTTACATGTAATTTACTCTAAAGTCATGCCAGTGGGATAGATTGTAAATTAAAGAACAATATATGCGACGGGCCAATTTCAGCTAAAAACACGTCGACAGAGCTGGTATCTTTGTAAACAGCGATTTGTTTATTTAGCACTCGAGAAAAGTCAACTCAAAAACTTTACCTAAAACGGTGGTTTGTTCACTTAACAATAAAGGTAGGTTAATTTTTAAGTTAAAATTGATATATTTAAATGAATCAAAACTGAAGTAGAGACCAAACACGTCGAGTTTTGTCCCAATAGCGTGCGATTTACAGTAGGAGTACAGCAAGAAAAATGGCCTAACTCCGTGAAAATGCACGCTATATATTTTGGTCTGGCGCGCTCGCTTTTCACGGGCCAAAAATAATATTTTACATGATAAACACGAATAATTTCTCGTTGAAAAGAGCTCTTTTATTTTATGTACATTTGTATACCCCCGATGTTATGGTCGTGTGAAATATAGCAAAATTCAGCGTACAAACGGAATAGAAAATATAGTGTATTTCACGCGGGTGGTTACAAACGAAAGAAAGTCCGCTTGGAGATGAAATATAGTTGCAAAGCTACTCCGAGGGATGAAAAACAACTTATGAAAAAATGAATCCAAGATAATTTTTCTTTGTCTTGTACGAGCGTTGTGAAAATGCACTGAAAGCCCAATGGAAATTATGCAAATTAGGTACGTTTTGGCCGATTTCGAACTTTCGTATTTTTTCCCAAAATAAAAACTCGCTGGAACTTTTGAATATTATTTTTGAAAACAATTCACCAAAAGGGTCTTTTGGAGCAAATAAAAAAAAAGTTGAATTTTTGCTTCTGTCGCCGGATTCTCGAAAATTACTGACAACCTCTCTTAACAATCAAGCTCCTGTACTTGTTGATCATTTCCGTTATTCAAAGTTTAATGATAGGCAAGTTCTGTACAGAGGACAAGGGCTCATACCAGCTGTGAAAAACTGTTTATAGAGAATTGTGTACTATGTGTTTACCCCTTTAACATGTAACTTCTCCCTAGAATATCCATACTTTATCCAGCAAAAAGTTAATGAGAATACACAAACTTATCAGGTAGAAGTTCTTATGTTGATCAGGTAGAGGCAGCTAAAGGGGAGAAGCTACAGCCATTTTGATCACCGTGACAAGTGAAAATATATTTGGTGACTTTTGCCAACATTTTAGTCATTTTAACATTTTAGTTAATTGGTGACTAACAGATAAGAAAAAAGAAAAAAGAGGCAGCCAAAAATTTTTAAATGGCGACCATTTTAAATTTGAAGGTTGCCAAAAGGCAACTCTTTGGAAAAATGAGCTTGGAGCTCTGTCAGCCACCATTAGTAATGACATATGATAATTATTCAAAGTATGTAATTTAATTCTTATTTTCTTCTGTTTAATTCTGTCAGGTTTCCTTGTATTATGATGAGTTTGAACTACAAACTTTACTCTACAGAGCTCCTGAGGTAAAGTAAAGATATTGCTGTTTTCATGAATTTGGAGACAAAATTAATTTTACATGTAGGTTACATGCATGCAACTCCAGTGCTTTCCTAATCAATCCAAGGGAAATAAAGCTAGATTAAAGTATTTTATTTGGACTTGCAGGAACTGAAGTACTCTATGAAAGATGATCAGTGAAGTTCTGTAGTTTTGTGTTTCATAAAACAACTTAATGTAGTTGGCCTGTTGCAGATGGAAAATTCTGTTCTGTGGTGACTATCATCTCAAGCAATGTATCAGAAAACATATTTCAATTCACACAATTATTTTACCATGACTGTATGTCAGGTGCAAATAGATGGGGGATGTACATATTAGGGCTGTTTTTAAGTGTTTGTTGGACACTTGAATTTTAAAGTTCAGTCTGTGGAAGAAGGTCCCACTAAATGTTGTTTAATGCAATGAGGTACAGTGTCCTCCACTTAATAATGTTGATGGCAGTCAGTTGAAACTGAAAGCACTGTGTCAATTCTTTCCAGGTGATGTTTGGTGTTCCCTTTGGCCCTGAGATTGACATTTGGTCTTTGGGATGCATTGTAGCTGAGGTTGGTTAATTGACTTGTATGTTCTCACCATAATTAAAATATCGTTAATGATTGTTATACCATCAGTCAGAGCTAATAAGAGATGATACTTGGCAGTTTTATGATGGATATTTCTCTGTAAGGGGGGAGGAGAACTCACCCAGCCATTAATGTTACTGGTGAGGAAATGAAATAATGTCCTTTTAAAATGAACATTGGTTTCAGTTGTATATAGGCAAACCTTTATTTCTGGGAGGAAATAGGACTAAACCCAGGTAAAATGTCAGGCGGGATATAGGCGGGATCCTGGCAATCCCACCCAGGATCCCAGGTGGGAATGGCGGGATCCCGCCTTAGGTGGTGGGATCCCACCTTTCCCACCTGGGATGAAAATTTGATCCCACCTGGGATCCCGCATTTAATGCGGGATTCCTGCGTCCCACCCGGGATCCTAGGTGGGACTTATGCATTCTACCCGGGATCCTGGTCGGGATTTACATATCCCACCTGGGATTCTTTATCCCAGCTACGAAAATATTGTTTTGCTGTTTTTATTCTTACAAAACGTTTTTGTGAGAGTTCCAATACTTATGGATCATCCACACACTCCGCAAATATTTGGCATGCAGACAAGACAGAGGTGGTCACTGTTCCCTTTGAGAAAAATACACCTTTTAAATGACTTCTTCAATTTGCTTTATTTGAAACTCTGATCTGAAAATATTTTTAAAACAAGACTTGTTAGTAGTGAGAAGTACAAACCGAGTTTCTTTTCATAACTTAATTTCTTAAATGTCCCAATCACTGGACCTCCTAAAAAATATTACTTCTTTATATTTTTGGTGCAAAATACAATTCCTTCTTTACATACAAATGAAAAGTACAAGTCACAGTTCAATAATAACAGCTCTAAAGTTTACTTGTTGTTCTTCTCTGTGTCAGAGATCAACAAAATTTTTCTATACCTTGTAGGTCTGGTATAAAATTGTACTTGTAGTATAAAATGACAACCTTGTATCTTCGTTCTCTCCACCCCTTTCCAAGCTCGGTAACGCTTCGGACTGTGCATAACCATTTGCAGACGAGAATTCCAATGCACCTCTGTAATCGCATGTAGTTGCTTCTGTCTCTCGTGCAAATGTTTTCTCCGTTATGAGACGCACTTGACTCTGTTGGCACCACTGCTAGTTCACTGGAAAGACCGACTGAGGAATCGAGATGGCTAACTGTGTTGAAACGTGTTGCTGAACGCTTGTTGTGGTCAAGCCTTGTTGATTTGGGTACTGGTACACTGTGATCATCTAGGTATCTCTTATACTTCCTAATGTTATTGGCTTGTGTTGCATGTTTCTCACCTTCGCCGTGAACATAACTCAAGTGGGTTTCGAGTCTTTCTTTCCTCGAAAACTTTCGGCCACAAATCGTGCATTCTTGTTCGATTCTTGTCGATTATTTCTACATAGAGTGAATTCACATCATTATTTATGTCATCATCAAAACATGAATCCAAGGTATCCACCATCTAAGAGAGGAGAACCGGTCAGAAGAGACAGAATAATGTTGCGCGCTTCTCTTGAGACTGCAATGGGTCAAGCCAGCGGATTCTCTTTGCTAAAAGGTCCACGTGATCATGCCCGTAATCGGAAACAAAGAAAACTCCATTTGGCGCTCATCTTTGAATGTACTTTTCATCGGTTAACCGCTCTTGCTTCAAGTTGTTTCTTTTCCCAACTGTTTTGCCTAATATAACACTTCTAAAGATTGGTTTTATTGTGGTTTAATGGGAAAACGAGAACAGCGTGAGTGTTTTAAATGAAAAGAAAGTCGTTGGCGCCGTGAACTTAAAAGAAGGGACAATTAACAGTTGACATATCGACTGGTTCAAACAACGATCGAGTGGCCATTTAAAGCTAGGATTTTTAGAAGTTTGTGGTGAGTACAAATTGCCATATTCGTTACGTGATCAAAATCTTATCAAAGAATAGAAATAACGGCTTGAATTAATCTTACCTAACACTCAGCGCAACTGAAACTCAAATAATTCTGAGAATCGAATTGGTCGCTTGCATACTGCAGTTTCCTAAGCTTACACTTTACAATGAAATAAATCTATGAGTAAGGTTTCAAGATTACTTTAGTCACATTTGGGAACATTCTGACCTTGCTTTGCTTTGAAAAATTCGACTGAAGAGAGAGCAGACTTTCAATCAGTACCTTTGTCAAAATTTTGATAACATGAATTATTGAGGTTTTGTCTTTCTTTTATTCTTTGATACACAACAGCCAATTTTTTTAAACGTTGAGCCTTATTACACTGTAGATGGTCTGCTTAAATGATGAAGAAAAAGTAATATGCTGAGTTTTGCTGTTATTCTTTAAGAATGTTCGGTTAAGAAATTTGTTAATGAAACAAGTCAAACACATGCTGGTTCATTGCAAATAAATTATGAGATCTTTATCACATATAGTCTGTGTATTCATGTACTGTTTGAATCATTTATGATCAATAGCTTGGTAAGACAATGGGATCCCATTGGAGGTGTCAGTATGTTCTATAGCTAGTTGGAAAGTTTTGGACCCTCAGTGGATTGATGGGGTCTATAGCTCACCTAGAAAATTTTATCCTCTTAATTTTAAGATATCCTATCTAGTACATTTCATAAATCTGTGGTCTCCAGTGATAAACAGGATCCCTCAAAGGATTTTTCTGAAAGTGGGAAGCCATCTGTAATTTTATGCAGGGTCTAAACTGGGATTGGCAGGATCCCAGATGCAATCCCGCCTGGGATATGATTTCCCAGGTGGGAAACTATCTGAAATTTGAGGCAGGATCCTAAGACGGATTGGTGGGATTCTAGGTTTAATCCTGCCCGGGATGTGCTTTCCCAGGTGGGATGCTATTAGGAATTTAAGGCGGGATCCCAACTTCAATTGGCAGGATCCCATGTGGGATCCCATGCGGGATGTTCCATAATCCCAGGTGGGATCCCATGTGGGATGTTCCATAATCCCAGGTGGGATCCCATGCGGGATGTTCCATAATCCCACCCGGGATGTTCCATAATCCCACCCGGGATGTTCCATAATCCCACCCGGGATGTTCCATAATCCCACCCGGGATGTTCCATAATCCCACCCGGGATGTTCCATAATCCCACCCGGGATGTTCCATAATCCCACCCGGGATGTTCCATAATCCCAGGTGGGATCCCATGCGGGATGTTCCATAATCCCAGGTGGGATCCCATGCGGGATGTTCCATAATCCCAGGTGGGATCCCATGCGGGATGTTCCATAATCCCACCCGGGATCCCACCTGAAAAAGGCGGGATCCCACCTGGGACACACATGGGATCCCAGGTGGGATTGGCGGGATCCCACCTTATATTTTTACCTGGGAAGTGTTGCAAGAGGTATGTTTTTGTTTTGTTTTTTTTTTATTATTGGCACTTATACAAGCTGCTTATGACCTAAGGTAACTAATGCACTAATAAGAATGCAGTAACTGCGAATAAAGCGACGTTAACATCGCCAATGAACAAAATTGGCTGTAGACGCCAATGAGTTGTGTGAGTTATTGGTGATGTTTACTTCGCTTTATTCGCCTTGAGATCCTTATAAACTTTGTTGCAAATAAAAAGAAATGCTTTCTACTAAAGATCTTGTCTAGAAAGCCAAGTTTTCGTTAAAAAATCTGAGCGATTGACATGATGAGTCTTTACGGTGTTGTTGTCGCACAATAGCTCGTTCGCGTCTTAAGCTGTCAGTTATAGTCATTGGTGATGTTCACCAATGTTCACCAATGTTTAAGCTTCTGTTAGATGTTCACCGATGTTCACCAGTGTTTTTTTACTAAATATTGTTTACTTTTCTGTGTGTTTAACTTCTAATAAGTTGTATTGGATTGACGACCAACTCGCCGACGTCTCTACTCGATTTTATACGTCGGCGAGTTGGCGTCGGCGAGCTGGTCCGTCGGCGAGTTGGTCCGTCGGCGAGCTGGTCCGTCGGCGAGTTGGTCCGTCGGCGAGTTGGTCCGTCGGCGAGTTGGTCCGTCGGCGAGTTGGTCCGTCGGCGAGTTGGTCCGTCGGCGAGTTGACCGTAATTCTTTCTGACTACACTTTATTTAGACTTCCTCTACTTTGGGAAAGTGTGAATCCAAACAAAATTGCAATTAGCTTGCAATTCTTGACCTTCTGGGTACTGTACTTTGTAAGTTCAATCAATTTTTTTCCAATTCTTTTTCATGCTTGGTTGCAGGTAACCAGTATTCTTGGTCCCATACCTTGGAGTCCATTCCATACTGGAAAATTTTTTGAAGATTTGTCACAGTTTATAGGTCACCACAACTCAGGTAAATTCAAGTTTAAGATGATTCAAATGTAATCAAGTTATCTCAAACTTTTTTGGTAATCCTTATCTAGTCCTCAACATCAGGTACACAACTTAAATAAACAATTGATTTAACCCTTTAACTCCTAAGAGTGACTAACATCCAATTTCTCCACACAACATCAGCCCTGAATCAAACATCAAGGTCATGAGAATAAAGGAAATGATCACCAACTAAAGAAGCTCTTGATTGTTGAACAAATTCTCCTTGTCAGAGCCTTAGGAAATGTCTTGGGAGTAGTATGGAGAATATGCATACTGATGTAAGGGAGGAAAGGGTTAAGATACATTAGCAAAATAGCAAAAGACGACTTATCCTTTATACGAGGGAGGAACCATTGGAAAGAGAGCAATGCTTAGAGGTGGTTCAAGTGAAAATTTAAAATAATTCATACATGGGAAGATTTCTGAAAAAAAACATCATGCACAATGAGATGTCCAGAAAAAAAAGTATCCTTTCATTCGCCTTTCCAACTATTTCTGCTCCCAAAAAATGAATCAACAAAAACGTCCATAAATACAATAAATTTTCATGGGAAAAAAATCCCACATAGAAAATACTGTAGGAATCAACACATGTAGGCTCTTTACTCACTTAAGACTTTTTTTTTTCATTGCTTTTAGAGGACAATCACCTGAAATGTGTGACTAATGTGATGCTAAAACTCCATAATTCAAGAAATTTCTCTTTTGCACGTTTCTTAGTTGGCTTGCTGAAGTATAAACCAGGTAAGTATACGGAATTATCATAGTTTGTGTAACTTTTACTTGAAACACTTTGTTTGTTACAGTCGTTATCCTGCAAAACAATGCCAAACGCACTGACACGTGAAAAACAAAAAACCAACCTTTGTTCTTTGCTTTGTATCACGATCTCAGGTGAAAGACTTACACCTTATCAAGCTGCTGCGCATCCATTTTTGGCGCCAGAGTGTTCCTTTGCAAATTTATTGCCTCAACAAGGAGATAAGAAAACAGGTTTGTTCTTGCCTTCCATTGAACTGCATAAATGCAAATTAGCCCTATGCCGTCGCCATGAAACGAACTTCTGACAAAGAAATTTACCTTTCACATAGGAATCACCTTTTTTACAGTTTCTCAGACTTCGTCGTTTATGTAGTGACGACTCTGATTTTTCTGAAAAATCAGAGGCAACGTGTTAGTTTTTCGATAAACGTGGCTATCCTGTTTCTGTCGTTCAAGCGGGCCACCGCCGTGCCCAACAAATTGATCGACATTCAGCACTACAAACGGTTCAGAAAGAAGATGCCGATCGCATTCCATTCACTCTCACATTTCACCCTCACAACCACGCAGTTGAATCTATCATTCCTAAAAACTTTCAATTACTTCAAAACGATTCCGAGACTGGTACGATCTTTTCGCAACCTTCACTAATTTCATTCAAACGTGACAGAAACATAGGCAACTTTTTGATCAGAAGTTCATTTCAAACCAGTGACTAACCTGGAACTTTTAAATGCGCTCGCTCACGATGCAAAACTTGAATGAAGCAAGACTTGTTTTCATCCGACATCTCCCTGGAAGGTGTGGGGCAGTTAATTTCAAGTTTGATTAAGGTATTGGGAAACCTTTATCAATCAAAATATAATAAAATACCTCTGTTACGTTATTTCCAGATGCTGGAAGCTGCGCAGACATTTCGTTTCCTACTGAGTATAACTTCAAACCATACGTTGACGAGGAAGTTAAAAGGCAGCATTTTTCTGGAAATGAACTCTTAAAGAAGGGAACTACTGTAACTGCTTCTTCACCAAAACACTTTCAGAGCAAACAGGAGAATGCAACATCTCTGAGGACTGGAAATTTACATTGTTCTCAAAGAGAAAAGGTGACAATTAATGAGAAATCTCGTCGGGAAGACCAGTTGCTTCTAGAAAATTTTAGTTATGCCATGGAAGGTCCTCTTGCCACAGGATACCCTAAATCAACTCACCAACAGAACGAGACGTGTGCCGTTTTTAAAGGAAATACATGCACTGATGATATTGAAGAAGAACGTAAACAAGTCTCGGACAGGCTCATGTCTACTCTCCTGACTCCGACAAATCTTTCTTTGGGAAAAATTTCAGAAAAAAAAGAAAAGTGTAATGAGAAGGATTATTTGCCAGCAGGAACTAATATTACTTGTCCTAATAATGAGTTCGAAAGACCTTCGGCGAGATTCGTGTACAACAAAAGCTCCTGTTTTAAGCGCAAAAGTGATGTCTTTAAAGACACTCATGTAGAAGACGGAAGCCTCCAAAAGTCTCACGAACTTTCTTTATTTGGGGTTAAGAACTTTGGAAGCACAAACTTACTTGAGCATCACAACAGATTTAATATTGCTGGAAAACTAGGATTTGATGTGGGCAACTCTTCCTCAGGTGGAGAAACAAATGCTGCCGCAAGAACTCGTGTCTATCATAGGAAAACAAAATCTACCAAAGTAGAGATTGGGTATACTAAACATGACGGTGTCGCTGCAGTCCAAATGGAGGTACTTGTAAATGAATCTCCTTGTTGGGCGGCAAAAGCAATTGTAACAGATGTGAATCTTCAAGCGAAGTTTAGAGTGGGAAAGGTTCATGACGCATATTCGCATTTTGTGGGTGCTTTTTTCTAAATGCACGTGCGTTTATTTGGAAGCGATTTCCGGTTAATGTCCATACTCCTTAATTTAGTAGTTGATCGACTTTTTCATGTTCAATCAATGACATGTAGCTAGGTTGTGGAGACCAGTCAATCAGTTAGGCAGGCAGGAAGGCAGTTGATCTACATTTTCATGTATCAACCAATCACATGTAGCTTGTTTGTGGAGACCAGTTAGTCAGTAGTTCAGTCAGTCAGGCAAACAGGCAGGCACGCAGCTGGCCAGGCAGTAAATTTTTGGGCTTGACAGTCTGGCAAGCAGTCAACTGGTTAGCCAGTTGTTCAGTGCTTCACTCACGCAGGTATGTGTGAATTTGATAGTCAGACAGACAATGTGTCAGCTATTCACTCAGTCAGTCAATCAATTAGTTTTTCATTTAATCAGCCTGAAAGGCAGGCATCCAGCAAACAAATCAATCAGTCAGTAAATCATCCAGCTACATGTAGTGTGCCAGATGGTTACTCGGCTGGTCAGTTGGCTCTCAAGGCACGCCTCCATCAGCGAAAAGAAAAATCACCAAGATGCTGGAATATTGATCAATCAGAACTTAACAATCAGTTAGTCAGCGAGTGAGTCGGTCGGTCTCCTGGTCATTCAGTCAGTCAATGACTCAATCAGGCTGGCAGTCGGTCAGGTGGTCTTTCATTCATTCAGTTTGTCAATCAGCTTGTCAGCAAGTTGTCTTAATCTCTTGGTTTTACCAAACAGGAATCAGAAGAACAAGCAAACAAGGACTCTGGAAAAGCTGCATTCTCTGGAGCATATCAGAATGATGTGAGTATTAACTTTTTTTAATGGGAAAAAAATTTAGCCGATTCTCTTCTCTCTGTTGGCTCGAAACGTCAGCTTTGAAACTCTTTACGATAGTCAATTTACGTTATCAACTCAGTTGATAATACTAAATTACTTCGTGGCTGTAGTTTACTTGTAGCTGGGAGTAAAGAGGTTATATTTTCAACATTTTTGGCTTATTTCATTCCTTTTGCCCTAAGAAACAAGGCAACTAATCTTTCCTACCCTCAATAAAGTCTGGCTCCTTATAATCTTTCAGATCATCTCAGTTTCCCGAGTGACTATGACATAATTACAATCAAGGCATTGAGAACATCGTCATTATAGAAAACCAACATCTTCTGCAACTCTTAGGCGATTGAAAATATTGAGACATATTGTTTCTTTCGATCGCCATATAACTGAATTTTGAAATAACTTTTTTTAATGCGTTTTCTCTTTTCTTGTTTGTTTTTTAATCGTTTTATTTTGTATTTTATCAAAGGAGGTGATGTTACTTGGCGAGGATGGACAAAGCAGTTTCTGATATTTTTAGCTTTGTATTTTGAAACCTGTGAGAGTACAAAAATGTAGTAAAAGATTTTTTAAGTAGATTTAAAGTGACTTTGTGGATTTTGTGGTGAAGTTCTTCATTACGTCATGTGCTATTGAGCTCTTCATTCAAATGTATGTGAAATAATCGTCTAACTATGCGCAGATCAATCGTCACGGCATTAATTACTTTCAGAACCTTACGGCGGCGTGTTAAAGGATTCGCTTTCCATTGAGGAAAGGGACAAAGTTAAAGGAATTGGGATGAAGACCAGCAAATATGTTTTTTTATGGTCAGCAATCGTTCATTCCTTTCTTATGCTCCATCGCAAGAACTACATTTCTGTTCTTTATAACAGTTGCTGCAACTTTTTCCTTTGTCTTCCAAACCGAGAACACCAGTCAGAAAATTAGACGATAGGGTTTCTGGTATCAAATAATGTTTTTCGGAAATGAAACTACGAAACACATCAAAAACGACTAACATAATGCTAATTACGTCAAAATACTGATCTACATGTACCCGACTTGACATTAGTTATAATACATTACGTTAATGTCGCTCCTTACGAAGTTCTACTGAAAACAGATTGTAGGAAAGATCATTAACTCGTGGTTTTGGTTTTCAGCGATAAAACAAATATTTCACAATTTTCTGTTTTTTCTCAGGTTCAATGTTCTATAGCCCATGTCCTCCTAAGTTGGCTAGCTATTTCTCATTTTCATCTTTAAATAACACTACAGTGGGCCGTAACTTTTCCTAGCTTCTCACACATTTCTCCACTTTGTTACAAGTGATCACGCTCTGATTCAATTAGAGCGTGAATTGCCTCAGAGATGCACTCGACTCTCACAAAAATTAGGCGCAGAATTTTTTTCGAGGACTTGATACACAATGTCATGAACCCTCAAATGGGCTTCATCTGGCAAAGTATGAGTACCCAAAGGCTGTTCCTGACCGTGGGGGTGTGCAACATGACCCTTAGTTGGGGGTCTATAGGAAAAAAATTCTTCATTCACTGAGGAACATACTTGATTACCATTGTCGGGCTTTCGTAAAGGGGGAGGGAGGGGGAGCGTTGTGCTCCATTGTGTATGTGGTAAGGGAATTGGATGGAGAAGGATCTTGTGGCCTTAACGCATAAACTTTGGTAGGACTTACATGAATGGTCTTTGAAGCAGGTTCTGAACTTAAATTGGTTACTGATGGGGTTGTAACCGTCACCACTTTTGTTGTTTTTGTTGATACTGATGCAGGCGTGGGCGAGGTGACGTTTGCACCCTCAGTATAAACGGTAAAACACAACGTTAAAGCCAAAGCCTGAGAAAAAATCTGAAAGAAGGAGAGAGGTCTTGTGGCTTCGTTCAAAGAGACCACCTCTGCGTATGAGATCCTAGGCTGATACTATTCAGTGAAATTACAAACAAAAACTTCCACAAGACAATACATAGTTCAACTCTTAACAACATAAACAACAAAGCTTTCACACTCGTGGCAAATTAGTCAATAATAACCCACTAGAAGCCTGTTATGGCCTTCCCTTTGTTAGCTACTGTCACTGTCCTCACGCTAAGCTGAGCAAACTTTGCGAGGCGCTTCTATTGTTGTTGTCATACTGGCAGTGGTGTCTCGACGACGGCGCATACAGGAGAACAACGGAGTCACCCCTCCCGCCTAGTTCAAAAAGATATCTAAATGGCATACCTCAAAACGTCTACAGTAGACGACTGCGAGTAGTTGATAATTGATCACGAAAATTAGTACTGTCTGTCACGCTGATGGTTAGAAGTTTGTTGCGAAGTTTCTAACTTGTTTTCCTTCAACTTAAATCCTAGAGGAACTGATAGAATGGTATTCCTGGGGCATCTCTTCCTTAACCCTTTTAACTCCCAGATCAAATTTGTAACTCTCTTTTCAGTCAACCGTACAATTCTTGTAATGTTAGTTCAAAGAATTTAGTATTGGATCAACTAATTATTCCCAAATTAATATTTTTCTTTATTCTCATCACTTATCTAGTTGATATCGTATTGATATTGTAAGGAGAAATTCTGTCTTGGTCACTTATGGGAGTTAAAGGGTTAACTCGCACAATCCGATGAGTTTCACAACGCAATTGAGATGTAAAGTTTGCATCATTTCCATTTGAGAGTTGTTATCAATCTAAAGAGGAGAGCAATATTATCCAAATGAAGCTAGTGAAGCATTTCTTTCTGTGTCAAAACAACCCTGGAAAATTACAGTTTTCCTGTTCAACGAATATTGAGTCAGCGTGGTGGTCAATTATCATCGAATTTAGTTTTCTGACCAAAAAGGAACATAAAATTCATACAGAGAGGCTAAATACATTAGCAATATTTTTTTCCAATAAAGCACGCGCACAGCGATAAATCCTGCAGGGCAGTCAAGATTTTGTCACGGGCAACGGTAACACCTCGCCAGATCATCATGCCAATCTATTTTCGTGAATTGTCAACGTTTTGGGTCTAGATATGCAATGCAACTGATAAATTGCTTTCCAGCAGAAAAGCGATAGCAAAACGTACTGCACCATCCACCGGGATTTTTACCGACTGCGGGATCTCGTTATCCAACCCTGACAACTGGAACCAGATCTTTCAAGTAGGTAGAGTATAACAGGGTAATTTAGTATTATCAACTAAGTTGATAACGTAAATCGGCCACTGTAAAGAGTTTAAATACTGACGTTTCGGGCGTTAACCACTTGCCAGAGCGATTGGAGGAATTGTGGGTTGTTTGTGTGTTTATATGCATATATTCACAGTCAGTTATCAACTCAGTTTGATAATTCTAAATTACCTTTTCAAGTATCCGTTGATTTTTCCATGATGTCGATCCTTTGTTTCTTATTTGTTCGAGTTAAGTTAAGTGGTAACGCAATTGTGTCCTCGCATTCTGTGTGTAATCAAAGCTATAACAAATTTGAGGAGGTTGTTTGATCATCAGCATCCCGACTCGAGCACAAACAGCGATAGGACGGTTTGCACGTCGTCACAAATGTGTAAAGGGCAGTCTACACATCATGTTTAGCATATTTTGCCTCATTTGCAAGCGTCAAGTTCATTCAAAGATGGTATATTGTTGTTAAATTGTCAGTTTTGAATGAGTGTAACCGATGAGCATTTGATAGTCTTCATGAATTGGTAACAGGAAACTGGATCGCATATTCTGTTTGTGATTAACATCTCTTACTCCAGGTTCGCGATTGTCAGATTTTGTTGTTCACTCGTATAGTTACAGACTGACTGAAACTCTACTCAGCCCTATACTTTTATTAAAATGTATACATAGATAATTTTTCCCTATGGATATTTTTTGAAAAAAAAAACATAATTTCACTAAAAAGAAAAAAATTCGGATAGAACTAGTCAAGGGCCCTTGGTTGAAGTTTTTCCCTGGCGTCGATTATCCAAGAATGTTTGAGGGAGTTTTTAGGAAGGATCACAGGTCTACGATGTTATGATAAAAAATAGACTTTCGGGAGGGTGTTTGTTTTTGTTTTGTGTTCTTTCCTTTCTTTTGCCTTCCGGAATTGTTTAGTTTTATTTCGCCTCCATTTTTTACTTTTTTGAAATCGAGCTTGAGTACGAAACCCACTATAAATAACCACAGGAGCCTGACAACCACTTACATGCACGAATTTATTGATTATAAAACTTCTCATACAGTTAAAATTTCACTCGACATGAATACTATACTACTTAGTAAGATGTACCAGGCTGAGCAAAACTAGGCAAAACTAATCGACTGAAAAATATCACGCCTTCCTCTGTGATCTTGAGCGATATTACAATAAAAACCATTCTGATCCCTACGGTCTTTCTCTTTTCTGTCGAGAATAGAACGAAGACATAGCAGTCCTTAAACATTGAAACAGGTTTGTCTTCCTAAAAATATTACCCGGAATCTTGTACATGAATGGCGTTCGTTTCTAATCTAATGTTTTACTTCTACGTTTAAAGTTATCGAAGGCAACTGAGGGCAGTGGGCAGACTCACTCATACCATGCATACACATCAACACAAGTTTCACCGCTGTTGTCTTCCTCTCCGCCGTCCACCCAATCCTGTCCGTACCATATCTGCATCTCTTGGTTGCTCGAGACAGACAATGGATTGACGAGGTTGCGAAAAACCAGCTCAGTTGAATTATGGTGATATCCAGGAAGACTGTAAAAGTGTGTTTTGTTTCCAAAAGCACCGGAAGGTAAAGCTTTCAAGTCTTCGGCAGGGGGCAGAATGGCCTCCTTATTGGCATCTGTGATGATTGTCATCAAATTTTCTCCATATCTTGGGTTGGTGCAGCCCCAGTAGGATGAAATAGTTTTATCGTTGCAGCGCACCGACCCTGACCTGTGAATAAGCTTCATTGTTTTCACTCGTCCACTCTTTTTCATGTTGAAGGAACCATACTGATTATTTTTGGTTCCAAAGCAGACGGGTTCTTCACCATTTATCTTTTGCCAGCTCTCTGAGATATAGTAATAAGATAGCTAGATAGTTTTGAAAGTTAATTAAACTGTATTTAAAAAAATAGCTACTATCAGCCAATGCATTTTCGAATTATACTAGGCTAACAGCCATTTGCAGGATAAATTCCAGTAATAAAAAAGGTAAACCATTGTCCTTTTCGGTGTCGTGATCTGGATAGTTGTTTTAATCTATTCCCATTCGCCATTAAAACAATTTTGTATAAGGGAAAGAACAATTCATGTCATTGACTAATCTTCTTCTCGGAGTTTGTAGTTCTATTTGAATTACTGAAAACAAACCCTTTCTTGTCTATAATTCCCCTTTTTTGCAGAAACACTGCGACGAGATATTATTTTGGTAAGTTTAAAAAAGAAGTCGGAGTAGGAGAACACGTTAAGCAGGCAGTGGGGTGATGAATGAGTCCACTAATTTAGTCAAACAATTTACCTTTACAATAGGCCTCGATGACCTCGCTATTCTCTTCAGAGTAAATCCAGTATTTCCCGTCAGCCATCTGGTTCCCTTCACTCGCTTCAATCTCACCACAGGTTTTCGCCGGAAGTTCTTTGATGGATCCGAGGAGAACTACGTCAGAAAAAACAAATTTCATGCAAGAATCTACACCATCATGCAGTTCGATACCTCCTGATGCGACAGGAGAGAAAAAAAACCTCCTACCTTTCCTGCCTGCGTAAAACAGAGAGAAATAAAAACTGTGCTAATTCTATCAGATCTAGACTAAGAAATGAGATGGAAGACAGCAACAATAACGCAGCGAAACAAGCCAACATTTCGGTATCATCGTTAAACAATTTTCAAGGTGACTAAGGAAAAGAGTTGCTTGACTTCATAATTAAGTCAAATATTATCTTCCCACGATGACGTTGATGAGACGATGATTCCAAAACGTCGTTTCTTTAATTTTGACTTGTCTCTGTATTTTGAAATGCTTTACCAATATTGAAACAATCCCCGAAATTGAATCATCAAAAGGCTCGCCATAGGAATATATCTAAATATATAAATTTTGTTTCTCAGAAATCTGAGTTTTCTGTAATCAGATTAATTAAAAATTTAAAAAAAAAGTTTTCCCAGAAACGCAAATGCAAAAAGTTAGTCGAGGGAACGTAAAGGGTACCTCTGTTTCTAGAACGCTTCATGTAAAATCTCCTCTGATCCGGCATAAAATCTTCCGGTCTTGCTTCCTTTGTACGATTGTTCAGTTCACAGATGTTTTGACCAATGACGACATTGTAACTCTGACACGTGACTTCTTCCTCACACAGGTAAAAACACTCTTCAGGCAACTGATCGCGATACATTTTAAACACGTGACCTCTCAGGCTCATTCCACCAATGGAGCTTTCGATTACATGACACTGGCTGTTGGCGTTGAGTACACCAATCTGGGACATCACAAACATGGTTGCCAGCCAGAACTTTGGATTCATTCTGAGGTGAATGTAGGTGCCAATTGCTGCACACAGATTAAGTACCTATCAACACAGTTAACAATGCTAAGATTAAGTTGAATATGGATTTTCAGTCAAATTAATACCTCAATTTACACCTTAGAAGGAGAAGTCAATCCAAAAAGGTTTTGTTGTAGTTTCCTTCGGCCTCCACTGGTTGAACGTATTAATATTAAACAAATGAACGTGTTCTGTTTTATTAAGTTACGAAAACCTAATCATCGACAGCAGTAAGAAGTGACACTACACTTTATATGCGTTATTGAAACAAGCGTGGAGTAAAGAAAGCTAGATGTTGGCCGAGTTCTTCTTCTGCTTTTTCGTGAACCGAGACACAGTCCAGGTCCCATAAAATCAGCCGGCAAAAATTATTTCATTGAAAAATGATTATCGTTTCCGGTTATTTCATTGGGTCGCGTTGAAAGGTGAAAACAAAAATTATCTACCGTATTTGTTTATTTTTTTCGATGATTTTCTCATTTGCAATGGACGTATCGTCCGCGCAGGTGTTAGATGTAATAGAAGAGATTGTTAGATAGAAGAGCGAAATAGCTTCGCCAGGATATCTGTGAAAACAATCTTAACAAAGCGCGAAAAATATTAATTAGCTCTTGTTTGAATAACGAATTGGTCTAGAAATATTTCTTGATCATTTTGTCTTGCATTTTATTTGTGGCACCGACTTTTCGAATAACAAGATAATATCTGGTAAAACCGACATTTGGGATAAAACGCTGTTTTCGTGCTCAAGTTGTGTTAGCTAAGTCATAGAGCACTAAAGCAGATAAATATGTTCTCAGCTGCTGAGAACATGAACTGCAATTCTATATTGGCCAATCTTTCCTCTTTTTTCCCGTCATTAGTTACAGTTGCACCCTTTGGTAACCGTCAGCACTTATTTTGTCGTCACAATTTTAACGAACGAACCAGACCAACTTTCTAATACTTCAGCACCGAAACCCAAACAAAGAAAGAAAAGAAACTTGTTACATGATCTTATAAATGTGAAAGAGATTACTTACCCTACCTCAACTAAGCTTAAATTACCTCTTCTTTAAATATGTCTTTAAATTTAGAGTAGGTTGTGCTAAACATCAATGATAGCCGAGTTATGAGTACTTTATCACACAAAGCAACTTTCTGCGTGTCTCTCGATTTGTTTCTTGTTTGATATGATAAGTAGCCCCAATAACTTTTATCTCAGAGCAATATGTTTTCATAGTTTTTGTGTTAAATTAATGAAGTGTGGCACTAATCTTAATTAATACAATAGCGGGATATCTTGATTATTCTCGCACGTTTTTACAAAATTGTGCCTGATAAACCAATCTCTCTAAGAGCGGTCATATTCATTTCGCTTCGAAAATTCGGCTTCGTTTTTTAACACTTTTTATTCGATGATAACCTATTTAGCGGCATTGGGCGAACCGAAAAAGTGAAAACTTTTTTAAAATCTCCTACGGGTTTCGTCTGACAATAGCAGACCTCAAGTAGTTTTTACAAGTTGGGTAATTAAAAAGCTTGCTTATTTACAAATAAGAATTATAATTTTTATTTTCTACCTTTACTCAGATAGTTTGAAGCAAGCTGAAAGCATTCGCAAGCTTTGACTAAGGTGTCGTACGTGAGTGACATTTTTCGGAACTATTATTTTTATTGACAGGGATGATGATCTGTCCTGACAAAGCCGCATGGAGAGATCGATCGCCGAGCGTGGTGAGTGTTTTACCCCTGCAAGGAGCAAGGAGTAAGCCGTCATTGGAACGTAAATCATATCTATCGGTGTCTCTAACAGAAATCAGCTCACTTATGTAGGCCGGGGCAAGACCATGTATTGCTTTAAAAGTGATTAAGAGCTAATGTCAGCATGCATCAAACAAACAGCGGCAAGTCACCCAAATTTTTTTTCACTCCTACTTTCATATTTTGTAGTCCAATATGTTTTAATAATTGTGGTGTAGTTTTTTTGTAAAAATTTATTTTAGTTTTCAAGAAATAATTTTTTTCGTTCGACCGCTCAAATATGCAAATTTTCACCGTGAATATTACCCGAGTTGTGCGACCTCATGTAACGAATGTACTGGACCTGCGGTATTTCTGTGAACATAATCCTTTGTTTTATCATCTAAACTTAATCCCCTGTCGTTATTGAAGCTGGCAAAGAAATGTTTTTTTTTTGGTGAATATTTTTGTCCGACATACTTTTCCTATGTCGAAAAGTAGCATCAAAACAATGACCGTTTTAACAATGACCGATATGACAGAATCTACTGAGCTTCAAGCTTTTATAAGACAAAAGGATGGTTATAAAGTTACTGTAAAAATTTTCTTGTGTATTTGTGTTGTTCTATCTTGAAACGAACTCGAAGTCCGGCAAAATTTACTTGATAGCGTCTATGAAATATATGGTGCGCGTACTTGTCGCCATCGTTAACTGGCATAAATCATTACAATTTGCAAAAAATCTAACATAACGCTCTTACCTTGTTTATTTATGATTTTATTAGCTGTTTCGATGATCACGTTAATTATGCTCTACCACATTCTAGCCAGATTTGAGTTCCAGTTGTATCTCTTTTCTATCTTATTAATCAACCAATCATCAATCAATCGAGATTAATCAACCTCCGAAATACCAAGAGATGGATTTTTTTCCTCTTTGCATGACATCTTGAAAAAACCTTTCAGGAATTACTGCATTCAGAAACTAAAATGTCCATATCCATCAATGATTCCTTTACCGGCTTAAGTCAAAGTATGGTTACAATAGTCAATTTGATTGACAAGCTACATACTGATTTAGCTAACTGATCTGTTTTATAAGCGTCTCATCTTACATGCTAACATGGAGATTTGCTGTTTAGTTAAATCGCTCGCTGGTGGGTTTAGTTATCGAGAAGACCAAGTTGTTCCCTTGCGTGGTTGTTAAAAAGACATTTCAAGTAACCCGCGGAGTTGCAAGTTTTCAGATCCAGAAAATGAAGTTGATCTTGTTTTGTCGCGTGCCGGTGTTCCAGCGGATTTGAACCCCCCAGTCCAAATCCGCTAGCGGATATGGACCCCCCTCCGCGGATTTGGACCCCCCAACAAAACTGAGTGAAACATCATCCTTAACGTTCTAGTAAAAATGGATGATACTTTACGTTCCAGTGCGTACTAAAGTATGTTTTTAATTCAAAACATGCGTATCGTTAATGCATACGAACTGGCATCCCCACGGATGTTTCTTTTGACCAAGGGAAAATGGGCAAGAATTTAGTTTAATGTCTGGGTCGTTTTTGAACTTTTCCGCGATAGTCGAACACCGCTAGATTCAATGAGAGACAAACTTGTGACACTAATTCATTTTGTCATTGTTCAATGTCTGAGTGTTAGGACGACGTGGTACAGTACGAGTTGTGCGAGGAAAGGTTACACATGAGCTGCGAGGGATTTAAGACTGCCCTGGAGGGCGAGTGGCTCTGCATTATCTGGAGATTGCCAGACTTTAGATGTCTTCGTAATTGTTAAGGTGTTATTTCGGATCCCTCAACAGTTAATAATCGTTAAAATTAGAAAATAAGATTGAGTTCGTTGTAATAGTCTCCACTTTTGTTAAGACTTTGACATTAATGTTGATTTGCATCTGAAATAAGCTGAGAGTTCCAATAGTTCAGAAAAGAAACATTTTTACTTATCATAGGCTTTACGAACGACTTGTAATACAAGTAGTTTCTTCGTTCTTGTTCAAAAACTGTTTAATGTTATTATTTTAGAAAATCAGACTGAGTTATTTTTGTGACTGGACGCAGTAGTCTCCACTATTGTTATGACGTTTCGTACCAATGTTGATTCGCATCAGAAGAAGCAAAGATTTATTGTAACAATTTCAATAGTTCGAATGCAGTAGTTTTTTCACATCTAATTCCTCGCTATAATGAATGCAGTAGAATTAGAACGAAATGGCTGTTTTTTTTAACCTTTATTGAGGAAATGTTGTGTTGTGATTGAAAAGAACATCGACAAAAAAGCTTGCAAATAGAATTAGTTACCAAATATGATACAAAGGATGCTTAAAAGGAAAGTTTGGTAGGGGGGTCCAAATCTGCGAAGGGGGGGGTCCAAATCCGCTGTGACACCGGCATCTTCCAAACGCCAAAAGATATCGATGATTTTACAAATTGCCCCACTCACAGATCAAATCTCGGTGTTGGGTGGAATCGTGGTTCCAATAGCAGATGTAGGGTGCCAAAAGAAATGTCCGGCCATGGTAAAGGTAGGGTTAAGTCGATTCCAAAAGCTGATGGGGAATTGGCAAGCGTGTATCACAGATATTACTCAAGATGTCTGGAAAATTCGTACAATCTGGCTTCGGTAAGTAGGCTACTTACCACCATGAACAAAATTACGAGTGACGTCAGACTTAAGTTTCTATTGGGAATTGGTCAATAGGCTAGCAAAAATTAAACAGAGGCGGAGTTTTCTGAACTAATGTCCGAACACTTTGTTGGCTTTCCGCCGTTTGGGGGGACGCGTAGTTATGCACACGGTGGTAAAGGGCCCTTCCGCACTAGCAGCTAGACGCTGACAAAACTTGTTCCTCTTCGCCAAAAATCACATCAGAATTTGTCCTTGCTAGATGTCACGTGTCGCTACACGTATTAGCACCCCCGGGGGAGCCCTATACATAGGAGGGCGGGGGTGCGCGCCTGGAATTTCAAACGATCGCTATAAAATTATAAAAGGTACTTAAGTGCTGCTCCCGCTAAGAGCGGTCCTCTCGACTTCCCGTTTCCAAAACGTTCTCTTTTATTTTTTGCCCATGAAAATGGTTTTGGACACATGTTTCAAAAATAGTTTAGTTGTTCTCCAATTCTCTTTTTTTGCTTCGCCGCAAGCCAAAAATCATTTTTGGCCAGATCCCCCCTGTGAATATCGATCGAAAGTGTCAATTTCAAAGATTTTGTCTAGCGCGCAGCGACTGCATCAATTTAGCTCACGGAATTCTATCTTGCTACAAGTTACAAGGTGTATTCAGTTAGTTCACAGACAAAATATGGAAACTTGAAATATTTTTCATACCAGCGTGATCAGAGGGGACCCTGCTCTTCGACCTTAATTTGTATATCAAAAATTCACTACATTGTACGAAAGAATTCTCAAAATGCAGGCGTCAATCGGGCCGATTAGATGCCGAGTTGTCCTAAAACGTTGCGTAAACGTGATCGGTCGTAACGCTTGCGCGCTTGCGTGATTTAAAAAGTAGACAAAGGTGATCGGAAGGCGCCTTCTCGATAATTTAAGTTGAAATATCAGGTCATGAACTATGCACAATGTGGAAAAGATCAAAATTAAAGAATAAAATTTGGCACTCTGGTCATAACAGACATATCGCGTTGCTTAAAAGGACATAAAAACAAGTTAAAATAGGTTGCAGTGTTTATATTTACAAAACAACACGCATACACTCCGAAACAATTCTTGCAGTTTCTCCCAAGATTTAGTATACGGAACCCGATGAACTAACCCTCTTTCTGCAAATTTGTTTCCGTCATTAATGATGTTACGCTCTTATGGACCACAACGGTTTTGAGCGACAAACTCGACATTTCCCTGCGACCATCAAAATCAACTGGACAAACCCAGCTTGATATATTGCGTGACGTATTGTGCAAACTTTTCTCTTTGTCATACGACCTGTTTCGCAGGTTCTACGAGTTGGAACCAAAATTAGTTAATGTAACGAATTAGAATCGAAAGTTATTCAAATGGACTGAAGAATTTTACATTTCAATGAGAATTTTATCGTTTAAATGTTTACTTGATTCACGGAAAGCAAAGATTGGAGTGGCTTTGGGTATTTCAGCCCTGATTTGGAAAAAATAAAACAGTTAGTGGTATGTTCTAAACACCAGAACACCTGAAAGGACACTGGAAATGTAGTAAAAGTATTTTTTAGCATCCAGAGCAAAAAGAAGAATGTGAGGCAGTGAAAGGAGACTGAGTTTTCAACGCCATTTGTCGTAAAAGCTGCCACCGGCTTGTCATAGGCGTACGGGCCGGGGGGGCGGGGGGGGGCTGCAGCCCCCCCAAAATTTTGGGCAATTCAGATTTTTTGGGCAGCAAGAGAAATTTGGGCAAAGCCAGTTTTTAAAGATGTTTTCAAGTTTTTTATTGAAATAGATAGATATTTTCTATTTTTACCTGAATTTAAAAATGGAAAGCCAGTTAAATTCACACGAGAAAGCGGTTGCCTAGCACGTGACGAGCTTCTGGTCATTAGTAAGGGGGGTTATAAGTTGATATACGTATTTCTATTTTTTGTGTTTGTTCTTGGGCATTGTACTGTACTGTACCGCACTGCACTAGCTGGTGTTGTAAATTAATTAGAATCAATTTCCGCATAGCTTTGTAAAATAATATCGTAGATTATCGACTGGAGACTCTCAGAAGATCGGAGTCAAGTGCTAGGCAACCACTGTCTCGTGTGAATTTAACTGGCTCTACCATGGGCTTTAAGTGCCTAAAGCCAGTTAAATTTACGCCCGTAGTTTCGTAAAAAGTTACGCGACCGTGGAAACTGTTAAATTCACACGAGACAGCGGTTGCCTAGCACGTGACGAGCTTTTTTGTACACTATACATACCAAAAAGTTCGGTATCTACGTCCACTGTTACGGGCATGTGCTCAACCTCGCACTTCAGGATACTATGACACAGATTGAACCACTGCAAAACGCTTTGGGGACTATCCAGGCTCTGCACAACTTTTTAGATGCGAGTTCCAAACGACACGCCCTGTTTAGTGACACAGAAGTACAAGGCGAGGATCTGAAACTGACGCTGAAGTCATTGAGTGCCATGCGATGGTCATGCCGGTGGGAAGCCGTAAAAGCCGTATACGGGCAAATAGAACGTATTGTAAAAGCCCTGCTCACGCTGTCTGCAGACAAAGATCCGAAAACCTACTCTGAGAGCAGAGCCTTGTTGACCGCCATTTGTGACTTGGAGTTTATCTTCGGACTGTGTTTGCTGAAAGTAATCCTGAGCAACACCAGTAGTTTGTGTCGATATCTTCAGGGGAAGACGGTTGACGTCATCTCCGCTCGTAGAAATGCCGACATGACCATTCAGACCCTACGCCAGTGTCGGAATGAAGAAAGTTTCAACAGCGTATGGCAGTTAGCATCAGCAATGGGTCTGAAAATTAAGAAGTGGCTGAACAATTCTGAGTTTGAATTACGAGAGGTCAGGGCACCCAGACAGACGCCATCGCTCCGCCTTCAAGCCCTTGTAGGTGAACGACAAACGCAGCTGACACCGGAATCGCACCACTGTATTAACACCTACTATGCTTCCATCGACAAGGTGCTGTCCGTGCTTGAGCTCAGGTTTAGCAGAAATGACCAGGATATCCTCTTTGCTTTGGGAAATATCTGCCACAGTGAAACACCTGATAAAGAAAGCTTCTCCCGCATTGCTAAGTTTTACAACATCGACGGCGAGATTCTGGAAGCCGAGCAGAAAATGTACGCGAGTTTTCGTCATGTACGCGGATTGGGCTACACGACTGTTTCAGAAATGCTAGAGACAATGCGTGAGAATGATCTATTCGATAGGTTTCCAGAGTTTTCCAGTGTGGTGCATATCCTTGCAGTGATACCTGCTACATCGTGTTCAGCAGAGCGATCATTCAGTGAGTTGCACAGATTGAAAACTTACCTCCGCAGCACCATGGGGCAACAACGTGTCAGTAACATTGCACTTATCAACATTGAAAGGGCGTATGCCAACTCTGTAGTCAACAATGACATGGATCGTATCATTGATATCTTCGGTCGTCGAAATGGCAGAGACAGTTATTTCTTTTAAGTTTTAGTGTTTTTTGAGCTCATATGATAGATTCATAGGTAAGAATATTTTCACTTCATATGTAGGCCATTGTTAGTGCATCGTATGACCCTCGTTTCCTTCCAACTGTTTCGTAAAAATTTGGGCAACTTGTGAGAATTTTTTGGGTAAATGGTTCACCGCCCCCCCTGGCAAAAAAATGCCTGTACGCCTATGCGGCTTGTTATTGAACTCACTAAAATTTACTTGGAAGGCATTAACTTTTCAGTTTTGTCGCGAAACTCGTGGAGTTAAAAACTTTGAAACGACGTCCGATGAATCCTGAAACTGGAGTTTGAGTCCATTGGTAAACTATGCCAGCTGGTCTCATGAGCAGATCAAGCTCTCACGAAATTTGACAGTTTTGAAGTTTTAAGCGGATGCAAAAATCGAGACAAAAATTCGTCATGACACAATTTGTCCTTTGATTTTGTCAAGAGAATTCTGGTTTTGTCTGTTATTGCAGATAGCCTAGATAGGCTCTTACGAACCAATTTTTAGTTAAATAATAGCCTTCACTCTCGAGAAATTGCAAATATATTACTCATGTGATACGAATACAACTTAAATTCCGAAAACTTCAAAAACATCTCCAGTCAGTCTGGCTTTCTTTTACTGCCTCACATTTTCCCTTGTGCTGTGGCTATTAACAAGTACCTCCACCGCATTTCTAATGTTTCTTAAAGTGTTCAGATGTTTAGAACATACCAATAACTGTTATATCTTTTTCCATACCGTGGTCAAACTGACCGGAACGAAACAAAATTAACTTGTAATCGAGGATTTCGCTGGATAGCTGGTAGTACTTAAAATAACTCGATACGTCGTCCCAGGAGGGAAATCAGGGCTTAAATATCCAAAGCCACTCCAATCTTTGCTTTCCATGAATCAAGTAAACCTTTTTAAAAGTTAAAATTCTCATTAAAATGTAATTCAGTCCATTTTTATAACTTTCGATTCTAATTTGTTTCACTAGCTAATTTTGGTTTCAATTTGTAGAACCCGCGAAACAGGCCATATGGCAAGGGGAAAGATTTGCACAATCACGTCACGCAATATATCAAGCTGGGTTTGTCCAGTTGATTTTGATGGTCGCAGGGAAATGTCGAGTTTGTCGCTCAAAACCGTTGTGGTCTATAAGAGCGTAACATCATTAGAGATGAAAACAAATCTGCGGAAAGGAGGGTTAGTTCATCGGGTTCCGTATACTAAATCTCGGGAGAAACTGCAAGAATTATTTCAGAGTGTATGCGTGTCGTTTTGTAAATTTAAACACTGTGACCTATTTAACTTGTTTTTGTGTCCTTTTAAGCAGCGCGATATGTCTGTTATGACCAGAGTGCCAAATTTTATTCTTTAATTTTGATCTTCTCTACACTGTACATAATTCATGACCTAATATTTCAACGAAAATTATCGAAAAGACGCTTTCCGATAACCTTTGTCTACTTGTAGGTCAGGCAAGCGCGCAAGCGTTACGACCGATCACGTTTACGCAACGTTTTAGGACAACTTGGCATCTAATATCCATTCAGTTGCTGTGAAAACCTAAAGTTTTAAACGTAGAAGATAAACGAACGAAGTTTGAACTGTCAAAAGGAGATCTTGGTCAATTCCAAGAATCATGCAAATGATCTTTGACACGAGCGCAATTGAGCAAACACATGGAATTGCATTGTTTTAAGAAGTTGGTACCCGCGGGTTGGAGGCAATCCGTGACCTCATTGGTGTATGAACTATGCACTGATATACTTTTTCGGCCCGATCAACGCCTGCATTTTGAGAATTCTTTCGTACAATGTAGTGAATTTTTGATATGCAAATTAAGGTCGAAGAGCAGGGTCTCTTCTGATCACGCTGGTATGAAAAATATTTCAGCTGAAGTTTCCATATTTTGTCTGTGAACTAACTGAATATACCTTGTAACTTGTAGCAGGCTGCGCGCTAGACAAAATCTTTGAAATTGACACTTTCGATCGCTGTTCACAGAGGTGGTCTTGCCAAAAATGATTTTTGGCTTGTGGCGACGCAAAAAAAGAGAATTGGAGAACAACTAAACTATTTATGAAACATGTGTCCTAAACCCTTTTCATGGGCAAAAAATAAAAGAAAACTTTTTTCCGACGGGAAGTCGAGAGGACCGCTTTTAGCGAGAGTGGCACTTAAGTCTAATTCGTGTAGGAGCGGCAACAATTAGCCTGCAAAAACAAGTGTTTTTGTCCTTTTCTGTCTTTTTCAATGCTTCCCTCGCTCCTACAGAGGACTCATACAAATATGAGAGCCGTGCTGCGTTTACATTGCACAGGTAGAAAAGGTCGTCCAGAATGAGTGTTTCGTTCTGTAATGAAAACCCCAGTAAACTCACACAGAAAGGACTCGTCTCGAATAAATTTTACGCTGGTTATTATGTGGCAACCGGTATGAACTCGTTCTTGTACAAAACTCATTCGGATATCATGTAAAAGGCCCCTAAAAGTTTTTATTCCCAGAGCATCACGCTTTGCGCGCCTGTCTGAATACTAAAAATTTCAGTGGCGTTGAAGCAACAACCCACTTTGAACTGCTTCGCTGCCGCTGAAACAACGATTAGTGAAGAAAGTACAAATTTTGATATTTTCAATTCAACGTAAACAAAAATATTTATACATGGTAAATATTCACTTGTGTTGGTATCAATTATTGCGTGACTAGCTTATGATATAAATGAGGGAGGGGAAAACACAAAACCTGGGCTCCTGTCAAAAAGTAATACCCAGGCGTAATATAATGATCGAAACGGCTAATAAAATCATAAATAAACAAGGTAAGAGTGTTATGTTAGACTTTTTTACAAATTGTAGTGATTTATGCCAATTAACGGTGGCGACAAGTAGGCGCACCATGTATATTTCATAGTCGCTATAAAGTAAATTTTGCCGGACTTTGAGTTCGTCTCAAGATAGAACAACACAAATACACAAAGAAATTTTTACAGTAACTTAATAAACATCCTTTGGTCTGTTGTAATGATAATTTTAAAAACTATACGATATTTTTCAGGCAGCCAGTGTAATGACTTGAGCAGAGGTGTGATATGACAAAATCTTCTCTCCTGGGATATGAGGCGTGCAGCTTCATTCTGGACGCTCTGAATTTGTGAAGATGGCACTCAGGAACTCCAAATAGGAGGCTGTTACAATAGTCCAAGCAGCTAGATATAAAGCCATGAATAAGCGTCTCCGTGCATTCTTTTGTTAAATATTTTCTAATTCTTCTAATGTTATAAAGATAGTTAAACGCTGCAGAACAAGTCTTGGTGATAATATCAACCATAGATAGGTTTGAGTCGAGCCAGAATTCAAGGTTTTAACAAGAGAGTGCGGAGCTATATTTACTTTGCCAACTTTAATGTGTCCAATATCAACTTTGGCGAGCTGCTGCTTCGTGCCAATTAAAAGAAACTCAGTTTTTTCCTCGTTCAACAATACTTTGTTCTCACGCATCCGACACCTGATCGCCTTAATACAACATTCAATAGCAGTAATGCATCCAAGTGACCTGTCTCATCTGCGGGGCGCAAAGAGACGTAGAGTTTGGTATCGTTTGCATAGCAGTGGACAGATGGAAGATATTTTCGACGACGTCTAGTAACGAGCTCGATAGATTTTTTGCTAGCTACAACAAACACCTCAAAATTCAGGCGATTATTTTAAACATTTTAAGTCCTTTCGTCGATAAATAGCGCGAAGTCATGCTACTTTCCTGAATATCGATTATGAAGTTAGGCGAGAAATCGTTACGTATACTTTGTCTGACTGCCGGTCAACGATTCAAGACCAAGTGGAAAAAATTAATCGGAAGAAAAAAAGATGTAGTTAGAAGCGTGCACGAGGTGTTTGCACAAGATTCATTGACACAAGCTACTTGTTTAAAACAGATGCCTGTCATCAGGATTTGATATAACGATATCAGTATTAACTCATGTCCCCTTTTCCAACAAAACAAGACTATTAGTAAAGAGTCTCAATGAGGTGTGGCTTTTTAAAGCTTTTTTAAGTCGCTAAAGCGACTAAAGGTTACAATTTGCCGATCTTTACTCCTAACAGCTACAGCTTGTAGTTGTTAATTTTCAGAGCTAAGTTACAGGAAAAGTATGGCATAGAGTAAGGAGAATTGATATTGAGATCTCTGGAGTGAAAGAGCAAATTTTTAAGTTTCTTTGCTTCTAATGAGCAGGAACAGTGTTCATAAGGTACACCTTCTTCTGTGCTGCTCCATGATCTGGTGGTTCTCGTTGCTCACTTCCACCATCTTCTATGCCATCAGCATGACCTGGTAGGAAATACCCATCATCAAAATCATCATATAACAAACAAAAATTATGAAGGACACAAGTAGCAGTTATTATTTTCACTGCCATGACTAAATCAAGGTGATCAAGATATTGAAGCTTTTGCCATCTTCCTTTGAGAAGAGAGAAGGATCTCTCCACTCTCTGGCGTACAGCAGGAAGGGCTGTGTTAAACTGCCTTTGTCTTCGTGTCAAATGGCCATTATCTCGAAATAGGGTAATCAACCATCTGAAATAAAAAAAATACGTGACGTCCAATTTGCCATAGAGCTGACTTAGCTAAAGATTTCTGTATGTTTTAACAAAAGAAAAGATATGTCATACAACATGAGTGTATTAGTGAAAACTGGTGCAATTATGGGATGAGCTTTACTGGTTTCTATATCACAAGCATTAAACATCAATGTATTCTTACTTAAAATTCATATTGAAGAGGCACATAGAATTTAGGGTTGAAGCTTTTGTGTGAAAAACTATTTTAATATATTAAAATATTGGACAATCTACTGACCTCAACAAAAGGTAACCCCCATCCCCAAGGAGATGTGTGTCACCTGGAAATTTAGTGGCAGCTGTTTGGTACAGCCCAGAGTTCCTAAGAACTCTAGAGTCGTGAAAAGAGCCAGGCCAACCTGCCACTATATCCAGAAACACCATATTTTCATCACATACTGTCTGAAAAGAAATAGAGAAAAGTTATGATTTATGTGGAGTCCATATTTTCTTAATGATATTGGAAGAAATGTAAAATGCTCCAAATCAGAATCTTGCACAGACGTTTGCTACCAATCCTTTAATGGGCTTAACATATGAAGCGGCTCCTCTGTAGTTTCTCAGCTTACCTGGAGATTTAGTGAGTGACATTTCTTGCGGTTTATGTAGGCATCTGGTTCATGCTCAGGGGCACGAATACACACGAGTAGCATCAATAAGACCAACAACACCAGGGAATTTCCCTTCGGCATGGAATGTTGCTTCAATTTCACGAGCGAGGTGAGCTGTTGATTTCAATTTTAATTATGTTATCTCAGTATTTATAAACACCACTGTAAACACTTTACTCACACACTGATATATATGTAAACGCTCACCATTAGGCCACTTAATGTAGCGATTTAATGTTCTCCGCATAAAGCAGGCAACTGCAGCCGGAAATATTGCATCGTCGTTGCTGTTGAGAATGGTACAGCTCATCATCGCAGTCATCCTGTTCTAACGACTCGTAAATATTTAAAAAGCCCGCTAACTTGAAACACAACAAAGTAAACCCAGCATGCTCTGTGTTGCAGAGCACGTGACCTCAAATTCTGGGATGCGGTCGGATGCGTTCCATTCGACCAGCGAAAATTTCGAAAATTTTGAAACGGTGATTTTTGTTGAATATAAAGCGCCCCTGCTCTTAACTTTTAGTTTGATTAACAAATAGAGAAGCCTTGACTGTGCTCTGTTCTGTTATAAAGCACGCAGGAAGCGGCTAGAGCACGAAAGAAGTGTAGGGAGAAACACGAGACGTAGTCGAGTGTTTCTGCCCACTTCTTGAGTGCTCTAGTCGCTTCCTAAGTGCTTTATAACAGAACAGAGCACAGTCAAGGCTTCTCTATTTGTTTTATAATAAAGAATCCGTCAAATTCCCCATGCATTATTTTCAATTTTCAAAACAAACTTTATTTCCAAAGCGAACAACAATGTCGTCAGCATGCTCTATACTCTCATAGAGCACGCTACAATAAGCCAATCAGAATCCCTGTTAGAATGGTTCAAATGATCTGATTGGCTCTACAAGACAAGAGCTGATAAAAGTGTCAAACCATCAAAGTTAAAAAACCATCAAAGTTCACAATCTGCGATAGTTTACAAACTAAAATAGTTCGGCAGGTCGATTTTAACGCTTTTGCCTGAAGTTTTTAATACAGAATCTTACAAGTGACTTGTCCTAATAATGAGTTCGAAAGACCTTCGGCGAGATTCGTGTACAACAAAAGCTCCTGTTTTAAGCGCAAAAGTGATGTCTTGAAAGACACTCATGTAGAAGACGGAAGCCTCCAAAAGTCTCACGAACTATCTTTATTTGGGGTTAAGAACTTTGGAAGCACAAACTTACTTGAGCATCACAACAGATTTAATATTCCTGGAAAACTAGGATTTGATGTGGGCAACTCTTCCTCAGGTGGAGAAACAAATGCTGCCGCAAGAACTCGTGTCTATCATAGGAAAACAAAATCTACCAAAGTAGAGATTAGGTATACTAAACATGACAGTGTCGCTGCAGTCCAAATGGAGGTACTTGTAAATGAATCTCCTTGTTGGGCGGCAAAAGCAACTGTAACAGATGTGAATCTTCAAGCGAAGTTTAGAGTGGGAAAGGTTCGTGACGCATATTCGCATTTTGTGGGTGCTTTTTTCTAAATGCACGTGCGTTTATTTGGAAGCGATCTCCGGTTAATGTCCATACTCCTTAATTTAATAGTTGATCGACTCATTTAATCAGCCTGAAAGGCAGGCATCCAGCAAACAAATCAATCAGTAAATCATCCAGCTACATCCAGGCACGCCTCCATCAGCGAAAAGAAAAATCACCAAGATGCTGGAATATTGATCAATCAGAACTTAACATTCAGTTAGTCAGCGAGTGAGTCGGTCGGTCTCCTGGTCATTCAGTCAGTCAATGACTCAATCAGGCTGGTAGTCGGTCAGGTGGTCTTTCATTCATTCAGTTTGTCAATCAGCTTGTCAGCAAGTTGTCTTAATCTCTTGGTTTTACCAAACAGGAATCAGAAGAACAAGCAAACAAGGACTCTGGAAAAGCCGCATTCTCTGAAGCATATCAGAATGATGTGAGTATTAACTTTTTTTAATGGGAAAAAAATTTAGCCGATTCTCTTCTCTCTGTTGGCTCGAAACGTCAGCTTTGAAACTCTTTACGATAGTCAATTTACGTTATCAACTCAGTTGATAATACTAAATTACTTCGTGGCTGTAGTTTACTTGTAGCTGGGAGTAAAGAGGTCATATTTTCAACATTTTTGGCCTATTTCATTCCTTTTGCCCTAAGAAACAAGGCAGCTAATCTTTCCTACCCTCAATAAAGTCTGGCTCCTTATAATCCCTCAGATCATCTCAGTTTCCCGAGTGACTATGACATAATTACAATCAAGGCATTGAGAACATCGTCATTATAGAAAACCAACATCTTCTGCAACTCTTAGGCGATTGAAAATATTGAGACATATTGTTTCTTTCGATCGCCATATAATTGAGTTTTGAAATAACTTTTTTTAATGCGTTTTCTCTTTTCTTGTTTAATCGTTTGATTTTATCATAGGAGGTGATGTTACTTGGCGAGGATGGACAAAGCAGTTTCTGATATTTTTAGCTTTGTATTTTGATACCTGTGAGAGTACAAAAATATAGTAAAAGATTTTTAAAGTAGATTTAAAGTGACTTTGTGGATTTTGTGGTGAAGTTCTTCATTACGTCATGTGCTATTGAGCTCTTAATTCAAATGTATGTGAAATAATTGTCCAACTATGCGCAGATCAATCGTCACGGCATTAATTACTTTCAGAACCTGGCGGCGGCGTGTTAAAGGATTCGCTTTCCATTGAGGAATGGGACAAAGTTAAAGGAATTGGGATGAAGACCAGCAAATATGTTTTTCTATGGTCAAAAGACAGCGGTCGTTCATTCCTTTCCTATGCTCCATCGCAAGAACTACATTTCTGTTCTTTATAACAGTTGCTGCAACTTTTTCCTTTGTCTTCCAAACCGAGAACACCAGTCAGAAAATTAGACGATAGGGTTTCTGGAATCAAATAATGTTTTTCGGAAATGAAACTACGAAATACATCAAAAACGACTACCATAATGCTGATTACGTCAAAATACTGATCTACATGTACCCGACTTGACATTAGATATAATACATTACGATAATGTCGCTCCTTACGAAGTTCTAATGAAAACAGATCGTAGGAAAGATCATTAACTCGTGGTTTTAGTTTTCAGTGATAAAACAAATATTTCACAATTTTCTGTTTTTTCTCAGGTTCAATGTTCTATAGCCCATGTCCTCCTAAGTTGGCTAGCTATTTCTCATTTTCATCTTTAAATAACACTACAGTGGGCCGTAACTTTTCTTAGCTTCTCACACATTTCTCCACTTTGTTACAAGTGATCACGCTCTGATTCAATTAGAGCGTGAATTGCCTCAGAGATGCACTCGACTCTCACAAAAATTAGGCGCAGAATTTTTTCGAGGACTTGATACAAAATGTCATGAACCCTCAAATGGGCTTCATCTGGCAAAGTATGAGTACCCAAAGGCTGTTCCTGACCGTGGGGGTGTGCAACATGACCCTTAGTTGGGGGTCTATAGGAAAAAAATTCTTCATTCACTGAGAAACATACTTGATTACCATTGTCGGGCTTTCGTAAAGGGGGAGGGAGGGGGAGCGTTGTGCTCTATTGTGTATGTGGTAGGAGGATTGGATGGAGAAGGATCTTGTGGCCTTAACGCATACACTTTAGTAGAGCTTACATGGAAGGTCTTTGAAGCAGGTTCTGAACTTAAATTGGTTACTGATGGGGTTGTAACCGTCACCACTTTTGTTGTTTTTGTTGATACTGATGCAGGCGTGGGCGAGATGACGTTTGCACCCTCAGAATAAACGATAAAACACAACGTTAAAGCCAAAGCCTGAGTAAAAATCTGAAAGAAGGAGAGAGGTCTTGTGGCTTCGCTCAAAGAGACCACCTCTGCGCATGAGATCCTAGGCTGATACTATTCAGTGAAATTACAACAAAAACTTCCACAAGACAATACATAGTTCAACTCTTAACAACATAAACAACAAAGCTTTCACACTCGTGGCAAATTAGTCAATAATAACCCACTAGAAGCCTGTTATGGCCATCCCTTTGTTAGCTACTGTCACTGTCCTCACGCTAAGCTGAGCAAACTTTGCGAGGCGCTTCTATTGTTGTTGTCATACTGGCAGTGGTGTCTCGACGGCGGCGCATACAGGAGAACAACGGAGTCACCCCTCCCTCCTGGTTAAAAAAGATATCTAAATGGCATACCTCAAAACGTCGACAGTAGACGAATGCGAGTAGCTGATGAGTGACCACGAAAATTAGTACTGTGTGTCACGCTGATGGTTAGAAGTTTGTTGCGAAGTTTCTAACTTGTTTTCCTTCAACTTAAACTCTTGAAGAACTGATAGAATAGCTTAGAATGGTATTCCTGGGGCATCTCTTCCTTAACCCTTTTAACTCCCAGATCAAATTTGTAATTCTCCTTTCAGTCAAGCATACAATTCTTGTAATGTTAGTTCAAAGAATTTAGTATTGGATCAACTAATTATTCCCAAATTAATATTTTTCTTTATTCTCATCACTTGTTTAGTTGATATCGTATTTATTACAATTTAATGGCACATATAACTTACTACTTACTTACATACTTACATTAATAGATAATAATACAAAAGAGTAAAAGGAAAGGTGCCATAAGGATGGTCCGCAAAAGAGATAAATCCCCATGCACGGCAGACCACCTTTAACAAAAAAAAAACAAATCCAAACTAAAATCAATCAAATCTTGCAGTCAAGTAATCCCTTACACCCCTTTTAAAGCAAGAAACACTTGGAGCCTGACGGACCGATAGTGGCAGCCCATTCCACATGTGGACAATCCTATTAAAATAGCAAAACTTAAAAGTATTAGTCCTCGCGTAGTTCTTTTTTAATTTAAGTTCGTCCTTACCCCTCAACGAGTATCTTTCCGAATGCGAATAAAATTGGACATAAGAGGATATATCTATATTAATATACCCATTAAGAACTCTATAAAAAAATAGTACATCAAAAAAGAAGCGTCTGTCCTCTAGAGATAACAGGTTCAGTTGTTCTTTACGAGTGTTGTAATCATCATCAGTTTTTAGAATAAACTTGGTGGCTCTTCGCTGAATCCTTTCCAATCTGTTAATGTTTCTAGCCGTGAAGGGTGACCAGACAATAGTACAGTATTCCAATTGGGACCTTACCAAAGCACAGTACAACCTTCTTAACGTGTTAACATCTTTCATACCCTTGCATGTCCTTTTAATAAGGCCAAGAATCTTGTTAGCCTTGCTTGATATCTTATCAACATGAGCATTCCAGGACAACTTGTTACTAGTAACTAATCCAAGATCACAGAATTCAGATGTTTCTTCCAGAGAGCTCTCATTCAGCTTAAGGTCAGAACGAAAAGGTATACTTTTTTTCGTGATACGCATCAGTTTGCATTTCTTTACATTAAAATCCATTAGATTTCGCTGACTCCAGATGTGTAGATTATTCAGGTCAGATTGAAAATCATGTTGGTCTGATGTACAGTTTATCAGTCTTGATGTTTTACAATCATCTGCGTACAGTGCGATTGTGTTTCCAGGCATAACCACATTAGGCAAATCACTAATGAATATTACAAAAAATAATGGCCCTAGTAGGGAGCCCTGTGGTACACCGGATGGGATGACAGACCAGGCAGAACTCTGTCCCTCAATAACAACCCTTTGCTCTCTGTGGGTCAAATAATCCTCGCACCATCTTAGTAGGCTACCAGAGATGCCGAAATTACACAACTTCAGAAGGAGTATATCGTGTGATACTCTGTCAAATGCCTTAGAAAAATCTAAGAACACAACATCCACCTGTAGTCCATCATCCAAGGCCTTTGTCCACTGATGGTGTGTTAATACCAACTGGGTAGCACACGAGCGACCCCTTATGAAACCATGTTGCCAATCTGTCAGGTAAGGGGCCACATGAGGATATATGGCATTATATACAATCTTCTCTTGGCATTTACTTGGAATCGATAACAGGGATATAGATCGATAATTCTCTACCACATCTTTAGCATCTGATTTAAACACAGGAGTGACATTAGCTCTTTTCCATGAAGAAGGAACTCTCCCACACCTGAACGACAAGTTAAACAGTAGAACCAATGGGTAAGATAGCTCCTCTGCACAGTCCCTCAATATCCTCGCAGGAATGCCGTCTACTCCAGTTGCTTTATTAATGTCTAAGTTGCAGAGGATATTCTTTACTTCACTGTACGAAGTGAATATATCCATCAATAAGTTAGGGTTGATCACATCAACATGAGAGCTGTCAGAGTTTGATGTTTTTGTAGAGAACACGGAGCTGAAGAATTCATTGAACAGGGAAGCTTTTTCCACAGGATCTTTAGCAGACCTGGCTTTGCCAGAGTAAGTTATTACTTCTGGCAGTCTCTTGCTCTTGGATTTAAGAGAATGAAAAGACCAAAACTTCCTTGGATTAGTCTTCAGCTTATCCGATAGAGACTTTAAGTACTGGAAATACTTAAAGGAGATAAGACGTTTGGTCTGTTTCCTAAGAAATTTAAACTTTGTTGTCACCTCAAGAGAAGCATTGGCCCTTAAACGCTTCCACAAGACTTTCTTTTTCCTCACTAACTTTAAGACCTCTTTATCTATCCATGGAGGTCTTGGCTTGCGTCTAAGCTTCATCTTTGGTACATGTTGATTGACTGCCGCGAGAACAAGATCTTGGAAATTCGCCGTACCTGAGTCAATGTCCTCACAAGATATATAGGAATCCCATAAAATGTGAGAGAATGTATTTCTTAGACCATCAATGTCAGCTTTATCATATCGGTAAACTAATCTTTGACTGTTTTTGGGCCTGTTGAACTTTTTCTTGATCGCGAAACAGACTGGGAAATGGTCTGAATCAAATCCATTTGGGTGCACAGTAGTTCCTTCGATGAGTGATTCATGATTCGTCAACACAAGGTCTAAGATGTTACCAGATGATAAGGTATTAGTGGCACTGGGACGGGTGATATATGGGTTTGTTTGGGTGAGAAAATGGTCATCCAGGATTTCACAAAAAGTTTCAGTCAAATTGTCTAAACTAGTTGGTGATCCAGTAGACCAATCGACACAGGGAAAATTAAAATCGCCAGTGATAATTAAATCAGCGATTCCTGTACCAGAAGCTTTATTGAGAAATCTCCTGAATTCATCCAAGAACGTCTCTTCGACGTCTGGTGGTCTGTAAAAAACTGCAAATAATAGACATCGTGTATTACTGGTCTTTAATTCACAGGCTAGCATCTCCGCATTTACCTCAAGATCGTGTCTCCGTACACATGGCAGGTGTGATTTAGTTGCGAGCAACACTCCTCCACCACGCTTACCACGTCTATCCCGACGATGGATACTATAACCCTCAAGATGTAGATCACGGTCATCAAATTCATTGTCTAACCAAGTCTCCGTCAAGGCAACAATGTCAAAGGAGTCCATTAATAACAGAGCATTTAGGTCGTTGATCTTGTTTCGAATACTCCTCGTATTTAATAGTAAGCACTTAGAGAAGCCATTAGCAGAGCGAGGAGAAG